GGAGTTTGGCATTTCATTGTGGGACAAGTACAGGGAATTGGTATCTGTCTGTTTAGGTTCAGCTGACTGTCAAAGCAGCCTCTGCAACAATGGCTAAAGTATAGGGTTTAGAGCACTCCACGAGAGACCACCATGGAATTGTGGGAAGACGAACAAGAACCACAGTAAACACGTGGCTTCAGGAGAAAGATGTTCTCACCTCCTGGCCCCAAGGTGCTCTAAATTATACACCAAAGCGTGTCTCCACCCAAGACTAGTAATATGGATTTTCCAAATTTACAGCATCCATCTTTAGCTATGGGCCACCCCAGGGTGATAACTCCAAGGTACTCTCAGCACTGTTCATGGAGTATGTTAACATAATCCTTTGAAGCGTAATGGTAAGAGTCTAGGAAGCTCTGCTACTGAGCTGTTAGGAGAGAACCACACACGGGTTGTGTATATGGAATGACAACAGGGGAATCTGAGACGCCAACAGCACAAGCATCATGCTACAAAGCCACACGATAGAACTGGAGTGGAGGCTAAAAGCGTGGTACAATGACCATGCATGCTCTTAGCAGAAATACTGTTGCATTTTTTTCCACTCAGTGTGATAGGCTGAAATGTTTGAGGGCAAGGACTAGGTCTGATTCCAACTTGGATATCACAAACACCTTATGTTCCCACTCTGGCTTTCAGTGGGAACCCGAAGCAGCGCTGTGACATGCTGTGTTTTCACTTGGGAATCTTCTAAAGGACTAGGGCTGTCTAGATACTGGAAGTTAAATCCTAACCACAGCACTGGGGTCCACTATCTCCTCCAGCTCTAATGGTCATCGTGGTTTCAACCGTCAGTGACCAGATACTGACAGCTCAACTAAGTGTTCTGATGGAGGAGTGAGGCGACCAAGTACACTCCCACCAGACAATGTGATTGGCTCCCTCCAGCCTGAGAAAATGCCATCCACTTAACCAGTTTGTCAGCTGGGGAGGTGATTCAGACAGGTCACCTTCTATAATGGCTCTGCTTCTATTTATAGATCAAGCAGATTAATGCTCGTGGTCAGCGCTGATTCGTGTTGCCCTGCATGAATTCACAATGTCGCTGCAGCCTGCTGCTCATCCCTTTGGTGGCAAGTGGCATGCTTTTTTGATACCTTCATTTTCTGCCCTTGGTGCCTGGAGGGAAGAGCCCAAACACAAGCTCACATCAGGAGGCCAGAATGGGTGGGCCCAGCCCTGGTCAAAAGTAGCAGCGCCCTCAACCAACTCACTGCCCCTGCATTGAACTCTATCCTCCAGGGACTCGTGCTGACCGTGCTTTGAAGGTAGGGATTTTTAGGGAGTAAGTAAGATTAAGTTACCTGACAAGAGAGGATCAGAAGGGGTCAGAAACACACATGGCATATAAAAAGTAAAAGATCCTGGGGGAGGAGCTACAAGGAGGATTCGGGGTAGCCAGGGTGGAGAAGTATGGGGGAGGAGAATCTGTGAAACACTGGTTTGCAAATGTCATAGTGATAACGAATACCTTACATGCTAATTTTAAAAGTAAAAAAATTATACGAAATTATACTGCGTGTGTGCTGGGCTTCTTGTTCATCTTCCCTCAATTCCAGGATGGTTTCTCCTGCATCACTCTAAACCCTATACATTAGTCATTGTCTCGGAGCCTGCTTTGACAGTCAGCTGACCCAAACCAGACAGACATTTTTTTTTTTATAATTTGTCCCCCAAATAGAGGGGTTTCAATCTAATGGCAATAGCTGCCTTGTGAGAAGGAACATACAGCAACTGCAGATGCAGCTGTACGTACACAGGTATGTGTCCATGCCTGTAATCCCAGCACTCACTGGGTATGGGCAGTAGGACAACTTGACATTCTGACTTAGACCCTGCCTTCCCCCCTCCAAAATCAAAGAAACCCCCACAAAACTGCTTCTGTTTCATTGTGTCTGAATGGAGTAGCTGGAAGGTGGAGTGAGTTATACTCAATGCTTCCTGATATGCGCTGCCATCTCGAGCTCATTTAAATTAATGCTTAGTAATAACCCTTAGCGTACTGTCTGGAATAAGCCTGGCTTTACTTTGGCTCCCAGAGAACAAAAGCAACAGTTAGAGAGCAGCAGACGAACATGGCTGAAGACAGTCATCAGATGTGGGCCATGACAGACCTACATATGTTGACACAATTGGAGATGAAATTCAAGAAATGTATTCTAAATTCTGATAATGTTTTAATGTATCTACACAAGCATATTCCCAGCCTCCTACAGCTCAGAGAGAGACAGAAATACACACACACACACACACACACACACACACACACACACACACACAGAATGTGAGCAGGTATGAACAGGTATGAATGCATATATGTGCTCAGGCATGAGGAGGCCAGAGAGCATCAGATGTCATTCCTCATGGTCTGTCTACCTTTAATTTCTTCTCTTCCAATGTTCTAGAATTCTCCAAGTAGGTGCCAGGCCGGCATGCCAGAAAGCTTCCCATCTGGCTCTTCCTAAAGTGGGAGGGGGGGTTCTAGAGATTAAACTCAGGCCCTTCCTTGAGTTTCCATGGTACTTTACTGACTGAGCCATTGCTCCTGCCATTCTATCAAGCAGATTTTGAATCTATAAATTTTGTTGAGTTTGAATTCATACTTACATGATTAAAAGCAAACAAACAAATAAGGTCTCACTTTATGGGGTATGAATTGTGACTGGCATGTTAGCATATGTTACCAATGCTGTTATGAGTCCAACTGAGCTTCCTCTAAAGAAAAGTCATAGTGAAAAGGTTGGGCTGATAGCCTTCTCAAACACACAAGCCCTGTGTCTGTGCATTCTCTCAGTCATGACCGTCTTATGTCTAGATTTTTCTATAACTCTGACTCCAACTTTGTTCCCAGCTCCTGAATTTGTACTCTTTATTTTGCACTCTGGCTTTCCAAGGCATTTGGCAGGACTCTTTGCTGTTGGCTCTATGATACTACAAGCTTTGACCATTCTCAGGGTCAACCCAGAAACAACTTCCCACTTAAATGTCACATGTTCATAGTGGTCCGAGTGCCCAACGCTGAACCTTCTACCTACATCCAGAGTATGGAGAAGAATCAGTGGCTTAGACCAGATCAGTGCCAAAAGAAGATGCAGTAATGTTGGAGTCAACTGAGCAGGTGACTGTGAAGGTGTACGGCTTTGTTCCCAGGACACAGCAGTTGATGCCGCGTTGTGTTCCCTCCTAGGTCTCATGCCCTCGCTTTGAAACAGAGCTGGCTGGAGCTTGTGTCCTCCTAGTAATTAATGTTAATGAGTATTTCCCATCTGGAGTATAGCATGGGGGAATCTGCTCTTTGAGGCTTTCGCCCCTGAGCCAGGAGCACTGAATGTATTTCCATGGGGTGAATCTCCAAGATCTAGGGCCAGACAAGACAAGAGAGGGCCACAGAGTGGGTCTGCTGAGGCCTTCCCCCTACAGTGTAAGAAGCATCTGATAGTAACCTGCGGCCACTTGCCCAGAACTTCAGTCTGCCCTTGAGAAACCAGAGGACTGAACTGCGCTCTGAAACCCAGTATTTCTGAAAGCTCAGTATTTGCTCCTTCCCAGACAGCCACTCACTGGCTGTATGGAGACCATATTGGCTGTAGGCCCTGAAACCTGGGAAGGGGGTCACAGAATCCTGGGCTCGCCCCAAGTGCCACTCCATCACTCGGAGACCCCAAAGAAGCCCTGTTCTTTCCCCTCACCTCAATCTTTTCCTCTTTGAAATTCCTAAATAATTAATAAAATAGTAAACTGTTTTTTGTTTGGTTTTTTTTTTTTTGGTTGTTGTTATTTTTAAAGAGGAAACTACAAAGAGGCCCAGTGAGATGGATCCCTGGGTAAAGGTACTTGCTGCCCAGCCTGATGATCTGTCGGTCACAAACTCAGATGGTGGAGAGAACAGACTCTTACAAGTCCTCTGACCTCTACCATACATGAGCCATGGAATGTGTGAGAGTACACACATTCACACAGAAAGTGTAATACAACAGAAACTAGGAACAGAGAGTGCATTCCAGTTACAGATGTGACTTCTGCAGTGCTCTGGGGTAGAAGTGCCTTCGTGTGCATCTTATCTTAATGCATATTCAAGCGTGAGAAGGATGAGTAGGTAGGTAGCTCACTAGCCTTGTGCTACAGTTCTTTTGGCTTTTCTGTATGTTTAAGACTATTGGGGGGAAAATACCTCTAGAAGATATTTCCACCCCCAAATTGGCAAAAATTGTAAACTTTAAAAAGTCCTGGGCATGTAAAGAAGGGCTCTAAGTCAAAAGCACACTGCAGACCCTTGCACATTCCCGTTTATTGCTATGCTATTCCCAATTGCTAAGAAACGGGCCCAGCTTAGATGTCCATCCACAGATGAATGGACAAAGAAAACACAGGACACATACGGAAAGGATTTTATTTGGCCATAAAGCAAAATGACATCATGATCTTTGCAGGAAAATGGATGTGGCCGGAAACCATTATCTTAAGTGAAGTGTCCCAGATGCAGGAAGACAAATACTATGTGCTTTCTCTCATATGAGGACTTCAGTGTCATCTCTCCGTATATACGTAGAGATTTATGGGAATAGAACATGAAACTAAAAAGGGGGCAATGGGAAGGTGAGGAGAGAGATCATAAAGGAGCCCTGGGGAGCAGAAGAAAAGAAGGTAATAGAAAAAAATGTGGAGTGAAATCACAATAAGGACATCTCACTAGGGATGAGAGAGAGAGCAGTAGAAGAGGGGGACAGATCGATGCAACAAAACAAAGTGTGAATGAAAACGCCATAATGAAACCCGTTTTTTTTTTTTTATGCAATTTTTAAAACCTAATTTGGAAAAAAAAAAAAAAAAAGAAGAAGGAAATTTCAGCATGAGCCAGGGAGCGTGAGGAGGGCCTGAGGGCCACTGTTCCATCCTGCCCAGTCTCACTCAGGGTAGAAGTCTCCTGAAACAATCAGTCCCTTGTCCCTCTGTTTCAGCTCTGCTCTCTGAGAGGCCACACTGAGTCATTGGCTCAAGCTGTGATGTTCAGCTGTCCATCTTGCTTCCTGGAACAGCTCAACCCAGGGTCTTCCTGAAGTGGTGACCACTCCAGCTGGCAGGTCAGTGGCCCAGGCATGGTTGAGGACTGAGAAGATCTAAGGGGAAGTGAGGATGCTTTGAGGTTGGGGTGTGGGGTGTTGGCTATCATTTACATGTTTGTAGCTAAGCATCCATATTTACAAAGTGAGTCTGTATAGGGAGCTGGGCAGGCCTCTCATCCTTATGCCAGATGCCCTGCAGCTGGCCGTGCTGGAAACTGTGTTAGACCTCTCCTGCCCAACCCGAGTCCTGTGTCAACCCACCTATTTTTAAACTGGCCAGTCCCAGGGCCAGAGGTTGTGCTAGAGTTTCAAACACAGGATCAATTTTCTTTAATGCATGGGTCCCCATAAAACAGGTACAGTCGCCTGCACTCATCAGGAAGAACATTGGGCCTGAAAGTCTGCAAGGCATCCCCAGATGCTTGAGTGATGCTAGCCAGACCAGTTAACAGCAGCAGAACTGGGCTGGGGTCTGCCTGACTGCTCCAACCTTACACCTTCTGTCCCCTTTTAAGGCAGGCTGAGCCCCAGCACAAGTCCTGGGGAATCCTTAGAATGTGATCTTCCTGCCTCCCACTGCTCTACAGCAGCAGTTTTTTTCTGTTCTGTTAGTTAGTTAGTTAGTTAGTTAGTTAGTTAGTTAGTTAGTTAGTTTTATTTTTATTAATTACAGTTTATTCACTTTGTATCCCCCCCTGTACCTCCCTCCCTCCTCCCCTCCCAATCCCACCCTCCCTCTTCCCCACCCATGTCCCTCTCCCAGTCCACTGATAAGGGAGGTCCTCCTCCCCTTCCCTCTGATCCTAGTCTATCAGGTCTCATCAGGAGTGGCTGCATTGTCTTCTTCTGTGGTGAAGAGGTTGGAACATCAGAGGAGGGAGAAAACAGGGAACAGGACAGGAGCCTAGCACAGAGGGCCTCTGAAAGACTCTACCCTTCAGGGTATCGAGGCAGATGCTGACACTCATAGCCAAACTTTGGGCAGAGTGCATGGAATCTTATGAAAGAAGTGAGAGATAGTAAGACCTGGAGAGGACAGGAGCTCCACAAGGAGAGGAACAGATCCAAAAAGTCTGGTCACAGGGGTCTTTTCTGAGACTGATACTCCAGCCAAGGACCACTCATGGAGATGGCCTGGAACCTCTGAACAGAGGTAGCCTATGGCACTTCAGTGTCCAAGTGGGTTCCATAGTAAAGGGGACAGGGACTGTCTTTGACAGGAACTGATTGGCCTGCTGTTTGATCACCTCCCCCTGAGGGGGGAGCAGCCTTACCAGGCTATAGAAGAAGACAATGCAGCAGTTTCTTTTCTGCCTGTTCCTACTAGCTGTTCAGCCCTCAGTTTTTTTTAGAAATTCTTCTACTAAATTCTTAAGTAATATTCACCACCCGTTTTTAAAGTGTTTTGATCATGCTCTGCCACTGCCTTTGCTGAGTGCAGAGTATTGCTTTCATTGCCCTCATGAATTCCTGAAGGGCTTTAGGAGTGGAGACAGCTACAGGGCACTGGACCCAAGCTGATCCCTCAACCCACTCCACCCATATCCTGCTGGGAGTCACTGTCACCCCAGCACCGCCACCCTGGGGTACATCTTGCTGGAAACGAAGATTACCTACGAGGTACAGGGCTGCAACCATGTGAGTGCCCCAAAGTGGGGTGACCTCAGCAATCTGCTCTTACCCTTGGGGATAACTCACACAGACAAGCGGCCCTGACTTTCTCACTGACTGCCTCTCTCTACAGGGATAGAAAATGGTACCAGTCAGGCCAGAGCCCTGGAAGCCCACAGTCACTGTTGCAGGATGGAGGAACCCACTCCCGAGCCAGTCTATGTGGATGTGGACAAGGGGCTGACCTTGGCTTGCTTCGTTTTCCTCTGCCTCTTCCTCGTAGTCATGATCATCCGCTGCGCCAAGGTCATCATGGACCCCTACAGTGCCATCCCCACATCCACCTGGGAGGAGCAGCACCTGGATGACTGAGGCACAGGACAGGTCATGGGGTGGATGCGCTTCTGCATGCCCCGGCCAGCATCCTGGAAGCACTTGGAGGCTGGGAGTGGCTATAACCACCCAAAGATAAAGAAGGCTTACTTTCACCTCGTTGGTTTTCACATGACCACCAGAGGGAAATAAATGCCAGCATGCTGGACCCGAGGCAGCCTGGGGAAGCCTGGGGAGAGGAATGCTGAGCCATGTTTCGGATGAATGGAGTCCATCCTAGGACTCCATTGGGAAACTTCAGGGAGATGGTTCCCTGCCCAAGGCTCCTGTACACCTGTGAAAACTGAACAGAGAGCAGACACTCTGGTCTGCAAACAGTGGTCAGGAGGAGACTGACCTTCAAATGCACAACACAGAGAAGCTGCTGAGAGCCCAGTACCCTCCCAGACTAGCAGTGGTGGGTCTGGAAGGATGGAAAATTTAAGGAGCTTCTCCTGAAAATTCTCACAAGGCACACAGCTACTTCCAAACTGTTTTTTTTTTTTAACTGAGATATAGAGGGGATGTATTTTTCCTGTTAAAAATGAGATGTGCATTTTAGACACTTGGGAAAATATAGATAAGTAGTAGGAAAGGGAGGTAAAAAGCACTTATAATCCAACCTCCCAGAAGCCATCATTTTGATATACTTCAGATCTTTTTTACAATAATTTTTTTAGTAATTCACACCGTATGCATGACGCTGCATTGATTCATATGATAGCTTCTGCCTCCCAAGATACCATGGCTGGTTTTAGTGACTCAGAGTATACTGGCTATGCCATGACTGAATATAGTCCTTTTCTTTATATATTTAACTTTTCCACAATATTCTCACACAAATCATTTCACCCAGTAATCTCCAGAAGCTCTGCACCCCAGGAGCTCCAGGCAAGATGGTTCTAGTCCTTTTCCCTGCTTCAGCTACTCAGAGGCTGTGCGAACTTAAGAAAGTTGTGTCTTGGTGTCTCCATTTCCTTATTGTAAGATGGGAAGGAGAAGTCCGTCTGTCTGTCTGACTGTCTGTGAAGGCAGCCATGCTACAAGTGCGAGCTGAGACTAGGTGGCTGATGGTCACTCATCTCTGGTCTTTCCTTCTTCCTCTTCTCCCACACCCTGTCACCTACGTCTGTGACCTTGCTGCAAGGGTTCTAGGCCAGAGCCTGCAACACTCTAGCCCCAACCCACCCCACCCCCTCAACTCCTGTGTCCTTGTGACAGAACCCCTAAATAAATCATCACCTGTGAGCTCCAGTTTCATCATCTGTAACACGGGGGAGTAACATCTACCTCACAAGGTTATTGTGGAGATAAAATGGGAGAACAGGAGCAAACAGGAGCATCCTTTCCTGAACCCCACACCCTAAAAAAAGAAGCCCACCTTCCAAGAGCCCAAGCTCCCAGCCAGTGCCACATTCGCAGTAGTCAGCAGAACATTCGCAGTGACCTCCTCTACACCTGAAACCAAGGCATATGAGGTCTGCTAACTTACATATTATTGCTACTGTCAGTTTCTCATGTATGTGAAGCCCATCTATTGTCCTTCCAGGGTAGGGCCTGCTGCCCTTTCAAAAGAGACCTGTGCTGTAGACCTCAGACCTCTTTCAGCACCCACACTCAAGGTATGGGTCCCCATGCACCTTAGGCTACCTGGAACAAAGCACTGTTTCTACCAGGTAACCCCTAAAAGTGGACAGCTGCTATCAAGGTAGCTTTCCAGCATATGTCCAGTCTGTCTGTCTGTCTATCTCCCCCCCCCTCTCTCTCTCTCTCACACACACACACACACACACACACACACACACACACACACACACACAAACACACTGTGGAATGCCCAAATGGACAGCAGGCACAAGCTCCAAACCTTGTTTTGGCTCTGAGATATCGCTTCCAGCCCAGCCTTACTCACTTACCTCAGACCTCAGGCACTTCTGTGGGGACCTGTTAGGAAGAGTTTACAAAGTCCATCAGGGCCTGTTCCCAGCTATTAACAACAGCAGGAAGGAGGAGAGATCTAAAGAGTGCTGAAGACATCCTGTGGAGGCCTTTTGGAGCTCTCAGGAGGGAAAACAGGATGGCCCAGGCTGTGCTCCTCAGACTGCCTGCTGAAGGCCAAACCACACCATACATGAGCGTGCCAGGAGCCCCTCACCTCCTCTGCAGACCTACAGAATCATGCTGTACATCTGGGGCTCAGACCCCAGGTTGGCTGCATATTCTGCTATGGGCTCCTGGCCTCAGACAACTTTCCACACCTGCACCCCTTAGCATTTCCCACCTTATCTCTTCGTGCTCTTTTCATGAGAAGGAGAAGTAACCTATGAGAAAAGAGGTGATTTCACACACACACACACACACACACACACACACACACACATACACACACACACACAAACTCGCATCACACTTCTGACAAAGCAATAAAAAGCAGTGGTTTCTATTTTGTGCCCACAAAATTCCATTTCATCCTCTTGCAAGCTGCACTTGTCCATAAGTACCATTGCTTGTGTACCTTTAGATGCTTGTTCAACAAGAATCTTTTCACAAGCAGCTTTTCACATTAATCGCTTCTTGTTTGTATCTTTGCATGTGTGTATGGTGTGAGTGCATGACATGAAAATGTCCGGCCACAGTGCATGTTTAGAGGTCAAATGACAGTCTTGTCTGTTGCTCCTCAGCCTCCTTGTTTAGAGACGGTCTCTTCTTCGTTGTTCACCACTCTGTTTCCCAGGATAGCTGGGAAAGCGGGGACCCTGCTGTCTCTGTCTGCCATCTCCCACAGGAGCACTGAAATCACAGATGTGCACTTCTGCACCCACTCACTTTCACAGAAGTTCTGGGAATTAAAACTCAGGTCCTCACACTTGCACAGAAAGCCATTTGCCTACTGAGCCAAATTCCCAGATGCAACCCACCCCCTTTTATCATGTTTGAAGGTTTGTTTGTTTGTTTGTTTGTTTGTTTGTTTTAAGATTCCCTCACACATGTGCGTAACACTGCAGACCACTACAGCAAATACCGTTTTCATTTCCCCATTGTATTATGTGCTGAGAAGAAATAGAAGTGGCTCTGGTGAGCCTCGGGCTTGCTCAGGAGAGGGGAGGTGGCAGATTTATAGCACATTGTTTCACTCAGAGAAACACAGGAGAGGGAGGTCTCTATCTCTGTCAGTTGGTCATGTGAAGGCAAAAAACGGGAAAGAATTCCAAGTTTTTTTCTCCTGCACTTTCCATTCTAAAAGATGGAGGAAACGGTTCTTTTGAGACCAGAGAACCCTCACAAGTTTCTGCTGAGAGAAAGCCTGCAGTTGTGGATAGGGAAAGAAACACCACAACAAAGTATTAGTGCTGAAGGCTGGAAGTTGGCAGAGAGGAAATGAAGAGAAGCTGGAGAAAAAGATAGCTATAGAGTCAGCCACCAGCCGGGGAAGAAGGCAAACTCTCAATGGCAGAGAATGGGGTAGCAGTCTCCAGACAAAAGTATCCAGTGGCTGGATCCAGGGATCAAGTTGCTGCCAATGATGTCCAGTGTGGAAGTCCCTCCATGTCACCACAAGCCTTCTGCCAGGCAGATGCACGACCCTTTCATGGCTGTGTACCTGCAGCAGTGGGGCCATCTGTGTGATAGCCACAGAAAGGGCCCAGGTGTTCTCAGAAACAGAGCGATAAAAGTATTCAGAAACAGGAAAGCCAGTTGATAGCCTAAGATGGTCCTTAGACATGCTCAGAGGCTGATTGATAGAAATGGTAAGATCCAGATACCCCAGTGTGGCTTTTCAGTGGCCATCATAACCATTTTACTTTTCCACCTAGTTTACAAAACATGTCCACATGTTTTGTTTTGGTGGAATAATTGTATTGTTGGGCATGGAACTCATGGCCTTCTACAGGTGAGGCCAGCACTATGCCGCTGATATTTGCCCCTAATCCCATGTCCTTGCTGGAATGAAAAAACAGTGTCTCTTTACCCAACAAAGTTGTCCCAGGACCCCGGAGGTTTCGAAAAGAGACTGGACGTGCTTTCAAGCACCAAATGGAAATAATTGGAAAGCCTAGTGTCCACAAGAATGTGTGCCCGTCCCATGGCCGTGCTGTAGAGGACTGGTCCTGCCATGTAGGATAGTTAACACCTATAATAGTCTCTATAGCTTTATGGCCCAGGATGCTGATAAGGGCCCACAACTGAGTTCCCCACATTAGTTCTGGCACAGATATGGGTCATCTCTGTCCAGAAGACAGACAGCCTCAATCACATCTGTGCTGACTCTATATGTCCTTGACAGCCATCCACTAAGAGCTTTCTTCCTTTCCCCAGGAAAAGTTCTCTACCTGTCAATGGCCAGCCAGAGAGAGAGGATGTGCTTGAAATATTAATAGACTTAGAGAAATCAAGTGCACAGAAGTTGGGTGGAGTTTAGCCAAACAGAATGGCAGATACCAAGGACAGCGCTTGGTAAGGCATCAGACTTTTCTCAGCCTGAAGATACAAGGAAGGACAACAGATCCCAGTAGAGGTTGTTATATAATGGAGACAGACAAGAGTAGCTATGCCACAAGTATAACTAATATTCTTGCCTAGGGATGGACTAAGGCTCAGTGCTAGGCACCTGCCTAAGATGCCTAAGTCCTTGCACAATTTCAGACCAATAGAAAGAGAGCTGGAGAGACTTTTTGCCTCCTTTGGTCTCCCACTGATCAAAAAATAATAGACACTAATGGATGAGGTTGCTGAATAATAAGCTCTATCTATGTCAGCACACTGGAGTGACTGAAATATCACCAGCACAGCACAGCCCAAGCAGCATCCAGCATCCATCACAAACTCTACTAAGATTGGGAAGCAAGCACTTTTTAATAAAACAGTTCCGTGCACACCGTATTTCCCCCAAATAATGTCAATGTTGTCCCATTCCCAGCCAGACCTTACATAGGAATGTAGCCAGGGTAAAGCAGAGTGGCTAGCACAGCTTCCTCAGTAGTGATCATAAGGCCTGGAATGGACAGCAGTTAGGGTCTTCCCACGTTTCTTGAATAGTCCCTCGGGTGTGGGGCATTTTACTTCACAGAGGAGACAAAGCCCTATCCTGTTTCATTGAGTTAACACTTGCCCAAAGAACATAGGGAGAGGCCTTGCAGGTAGAGCTGGAAGCACTTCAGAACTCCCAGGAGAGGACAAGCAGGAGCTCCTGGAATTGTGGTCCCAAGACAAAAGAGCATCAGTCTCCAGAGAGCTAATCAGGAATTTGAACCCTAGACTTTCAGAATGGGGTCACAGGGCACCAAGTGTCCTGGTGAACCCTTGGGCTCCAGAGTGAGTCTCCTTTGCTCCTGTGGGATAGCAGTAATACCATAGTTCCTAGAGTATGGGAAAAACTGGTGGACAGTGCAGTAATCCCCCGTTCTGCACACTGGTTCTCCCAATAAGCCCCAAATAGCACAAAGCCATCTTCCAATGTATCAGACTCTCAACATGCTCGCTGGTAGAAACATTCATCTTGTGTCACCATAGATTCCCAATCTATAGCTATAAGGGTCGAAATTCAATTCCATGGGTCCCACACCATTACCAGAAAGACATGTTAACACAACCATGATAGAAACAACATGGGGTTTCTCACATGTTATTTAATTCTAGACATTAATCCTAGACATGCCATATGATTCCACATTATGGGTATATCTAAAGGAAATGGAATCAGTATTCCAAAGGACTCTACTCCCAGTTGATCACAGCACCATTCATAATAACCAAGAGCTGGAATGCTTATAAATACTTATCAATGGATGAGCAGATGAAGAAAATGTGGTACCTAAGCACAGTGGTATCTGATTCATCTATAGAAAGAAGGAAATCTTGTCATTGAGACATGGAGGAAACTGGAGGTCATTTTGTGAAATAAGCCAAGCATAGAAAAACAAGTACTCGTGATGTCACAACTGGAATACAAAACAAAACAAAAAACAACCAACCAACCAACCAACCAAGCAAACAAGTTGCTTTCCCAGAAGCTGAGAGGAAAATGGCAGCTACCAGAGACTGAAGGGGAGGAATGGGGAGACTGGTCAGGCTCCTAAGTCACAGTTAAATATGTTTTGTTGTGTTACTATGCTGCAGTTTCAATGGAGCTAGGAGAAAGGATTCTGAATGCTTCTACCACAAAAAAGTAATGTTTGAGGATATATAAATATATATATATAAAATATAAATAAAATAGAAAAAGGGTAGACATCCCTTTTTATCTAATTAAGTCACTGTAGGTCGCAGTAAGGTCACTGGAATTAGGCCTTTCAAAGTCCATTCTGCACTCTGGTTGTGGCAGTTGTTTCTGGGGAGCAAGGCAGATGGGGATAGAGTGTCCTCCGGGAGGAAGGTTGCAGCTGCTACACTCTCTACAAGTTGCTGGCCAGAGAGGTGACTAGGGCACTATAACCCATGAAGCCTATTGCCTCTGCTGTTGGTGGCACACGGGAAGTAGAGGTTAAATCTGTACTGCTGAAAACAACACATGCTTTGGCTACAGGACCTGGAAAACTTAAGCTGAGACTGGGCTGGAGGCCCCCCTTTATGAGTGGGTGTTGTAGAGCCAGAAGGTGCTATTCAGTCCTCAGGGGAAAGATGTTTACAGAGAGTCCTCTTTAGTTACTGAGCTAGTCCTCAGTATGCCATACTAACAACGTGCCAGGCAAGATGAGCCTGCTGGTACAAGAGTGGAAAGACTGTTGTCGATGCAATGAGCATGTTTGGAATGAGTAAAGGCCCATTCTACAAGAGGGAACCTGTACACCCGGGCAGATCCCTGCACTTGGGGAGCTGACTGCCACTGTTTGTTAAACAGAAATATGTGCCTATCAAATCACCTTCTAAACATTTATACATATATCCTTAGATTACTGCAGCTACCGGCTTCCATCATGAAGGCAAACTTCTTTTTGGAAGCGGGCAGGGATTACTACAAAGTCTCAGGATGGGTCAAACTGGAGAAAAAGTAATTGTGGCCCAATTCTAAGATACAAATGGGAGAAAATAATCAGACATCTGTATCATCTTCTCTAAGGCCCAAGGAACTTTTCAAAAGAGGGAGGGAAAGACCAGAGGAAGAGGTGAAGTGTTACATAGCTATTTCCTTAAAAAGAGGATAGGAGTGAGGGTTGTGAGACCCAGGAAGCAAACAAAACAAGAAGATCGGGAAACTCGTAAGACTCAGCAAGGTCAGAAAGTTACAAAGCTCATGAATGAATAATGAGTGGCATTAATTATTAGTATGCCTGCATTCTCATTCATCCAGCCCAAGAAGAGTCATGGGTATCTTGTCCCCTGTGATCACCCAGAAATTGGACCAGGGCTACAGTGTCGAGTGGATGGGGACAGAGGACCTCAGACAGAAATGCTTCTGGGCTCCAATGGGTGTGAAGGAGAAAAGTGAGTACAAGGACCCTTGCTCATCCTGCCCCTAGCTCAGGTGTGCACTTGGTTACATGTTTGCCAGATACCCTACACTACCAATGTGGAGCTTGAAGTCTCTAGAATTCTCCGGCCCCCTCTCTCTCCCTGAATGTGTCTTTCTTTCCCTGCATGCACATACACTGTATCTCTCTGGGGAGTGCTGAATACTTCAGGGACCATCATCTTCCCACATTCCAGGGAGCACTGATGAGGTATAGCGTCACACCTGAAAGAGACAAGCTAACGACTTTCTCCACAGAAGCAGCATACACTGACCCACTGGACAAAACCAAGGACAGAGGACTCCTTGACGCTTCCCACAAGCAAAGTGGCTTTATTCATTCCTGCATGAAGGGCAGTTGTAGCATGGTCCCCCAGAAGGCAAGGCTGTGTCTTGTGGTTCCTGGAACCTCAGGCTGGTGAGAGGGCAGGCAGTACTTTCCCAGCACACTGTCCAAAACCAACACGATAGCCATCCCCCTGGCAGTGACCTGAAACACAGTAAGGACAGGATCAGCTATGTTGCTGCAGACTTCCTGGATACAGCCCCAGGTGGATGCTGGACCAGATATCATGGGAGGCTGAGCGATAAACAGGTATGTCAGCATGACACACATATGTGAACCTCCCAGGAGCACCTGAGCCAGAGCCCAGGCCCATCACACAGTCAGGGTCCCCCCAAAGCAGTGCCACACTCCTTTCTGGGTGTTCTCAGCTCCCCACATGGGTCTAGATGCAAGGCCTAGATCTATAAGTAAGCCTAGGGTCTAACTCCCTGAGTTTTAAAACCTGGTTTCTCCACCCGCTGGCTCTCTGACCCTGAATCTCTTGAGATCTCAGATTTTTCATCTGTGATCGAATCTAATGGCTACTTAACTGCACAGGCCTGTTGCAGGGATAATGTGTGTAGAAAACTCTGAGGACAGGGCCTGGTCCATGTGAGTTCCTCTACCTGTTAACCTGTTATGAAAAGGGGACAAGGTGTTCCCTCAGAACTCGATCCCCTCTGCTAATAGGTCCCCTTTTCCCAAATCAACACTTCAAAAGATGCTTTCCCCCAATCCACAGGCCCACAGCGAACCCGGGTTGGGCTGGCAGGCACTGAAGCAATACCAGACACAATACAAATGCCATGTATTGTATGGCTCAGGAAATACTGACAAGAAAACTGTCTGGACGTGTTCAGTGCAGACACAACTTTTTCTTAACATTTTCTTTCTGCAATTGGTTGAATCCAAGGACACTAAAGCACAGAGACCTTGGGACACTACATAGTTAACCAGAACTGGTATTGGTGAGTGCAGTGTAGGTACTGATTAACCCTGGGGTGTCACTTGGTGTCGTGAGCTCTATGTATACCTTCCTGCTTGGTTCAACGCAGTAAATGGTATGCCTAGCCTGGCGCTGTGCACTTCAGATTGAGCTGTGGACTCCAAAGGCATCAGATCCCACAGTGGAACCCACAACCAATTTCGCAGGGTAAAATCTGCACAAATGTGGATACAAAAACAATCTTCAAACAAGGCTATTTGGGTAGGTCCTAAAACCAACACAAGTGTGATATATGAGATAAGGAGGGAGCCTTGAGGAACAGAGAGAGCCCATGTCTTTATGGAGATGGGGGACTGGGGCTCTGCTGGTGGCCCTATAGCTGGAGGGCCAATAGGCCTTTCTCTGGGGCCTCTGGAAGGAGTGTACCCCCAACACCAACATGTGCACGGCCTTCCAGAACTGTAAGAGAAGACCATTAAGCTCATGAGCCCTCATCACAGAACAACAGAAAATAAACAGGAGCCCTTGGCTAGGTACGGAAGCTGACAGGCATGCTGCTGACTTGAGCAGCAGTGGACATGAGTGCTGGCAGAGGACAAAGATGACTGCTTGTGTGGTGGGGAAGGCTGGACCAGCCTGTGCCAGGCTGAAGTTGAGGGTCCACAAGCTCTAAGGAAATTGGTGCTATGATAGCAGAAGGTGTATGGTAGAAGGAGGCTGAGTGAGTGATAGATTGCATGAGGCAGCAGGGGGGTACCACAAGAGGATCGTGGGCAGAACAGGAGCAGAGTGGAAAGAGCACAAGGAACCTGTGAACAGGACTGACTGAAAGGTCTATTGTAGAAGCTTTGTGAGGGTTCCAGCTACAGATCAGTGGGATATGCAGAGCATGGCAACTGCACAGAGAGGACAGGGCACTTTAAAAAGATGTTCATCATGCCAGGCTGAGGAAATGGGTCCAAGATTCTAGTTCACAGGACAGACTCTTGGTACCAGCACAACATCAAGGAAGTACGAGAGACCAGAAGATACACAAAAGGAAAAGAGTGGCTGGTGGACCGAGAGCAGAACAGGTGGGAATGTAGGAGATGGTTACAGGTCCCATGGAGGAATACCCTTCAGAGAGGGTCTCATCAAAAAAAGGCCAAGATGCTGGGGCCTCTGGAAACAATTGAGTGCAACAGCAGAGAACAAGAAAACCTAGGCATACACCATCACTAATTCAAGTATTTTAGTTGTAACATGTACTCCATGCTTTAGATGCCTGAAGGTAAAAAGAATTGGAACTATAAAGATCCAAATCTTTGCTTGGAAGGGAACTCACACTTCCTTATTTGTTGTCTGCAGGGCATCCATGAAATGCCAAACTCACTGTGTAACCTGTACAACAGACCATGAATAATGCTGCAATGAAAGCCAGTATCTTCATATCTAGAGTCCCAGGATTCCCTCCAGGGGGCTCAGCAGGGGCCCAGTGCACATCTACCATGGGCAAAACTGGAATAATCCTATAGCTCTGTTACCCACTTGGCCTTAGCAAGATGAGACCAACCGAGTGTCAGAATGTTAAGCATCTCAAAGGTCACACTGTTGGTGAGTTCCCGGAGGTCACTAGAATGTTTCTGACTCCAAGAAGTGGTCTTCTAACCATCATGGCCCCTCCTTTGCTATTAATAAATATTTGGAAGGCAGAATGGCAACAAAAGATATGAGGCTCCCAACCTCCTGGAATGGGGTTGCTGAGAACTTCAAACACTACCAAATGCCCTCCCTGACCCTAGTTCCAAGTCAGACCCTGCCCATGGTTTAGGACATACTCCAGAAAGCAAGTACCCCACCATTACTGGGAGCTACTGAGATGGTAGTTAGGATGCAAAATGAATTCTCACAGTGTTTCCTGTGTGGATATTAACACACAAAGTCCCCAGGAGCCCAGGCAATAGCTCAGAGCATACCATGCAAATGTAGAATCCAGGAATGCCAGTAAGTGTAAGGGAGGCAGATGGCTTCATAGCCAGATGGGTACTCTAGTCCTGTGAGGGTTGGTGGTCATACCTGTTATGATGACTTCATCACCATCCAGCAGGAAGGTTCTGGTCTGACCCTGACCCAGATCAATGGCCTTTGTTCCCCTCCAGGACAGTTCCAGCATGGAGCCAAAGCTTCCAGGGTCCTTTATAAGAGGAAAGGGGTAAGGTGGTATGTAATTATGTCTTGGTAATATATCAGCTCTGGTGTTGACTGTACAGTGAGACTTGAAGGCTCATAAAACCTTTGAGGCCACCTGGTGGCCCAATAGGCTATGCCTTCATTCTTCCTGTGAGCCTCTTCAGGGTCCTGTGCCTACAGTGCACCAAGAGGCCTGCTTCAGCATGCCCTCTCACTCCATAGAACGCAGCTCACAACCTCAGACAGTGTTACACCCAATACTCTACCATGGGCAAGAGGCTGCTACCATCAACATGGCCAGAATCTCAGAGAGTGAAGCCAACCTATTCACCCCCATCCCCATCCCACACCACTGTTTTACCCCTCCCCAGGCTCATGGTGGGTCAAGGGTAGATGAGAATGATGCAGCTGTGAGGTCACATCATTCTGGGATGGAACAGAGGATTATATGGAGCGGCTGCTGCTCTCTGGGGAGACAGACAGGGTTTGGCCTTTACACAAATCTCTCTTGGTTTATGTGCAGTCTCTCTTGAAGCATTCTATCCCCAAAATTGCTCAATTTGCCTATCTTTGGCTTGGTGACCTACATGGGTAGTTTGAGACTCACCGACCCACTGATGGTCCCAGAAGCCAAGAGGTCCCCAGGTCTCAGGTTGCATCCATTAACAGAGTGGTGTGTGAGTTGCTGCAGCATGGTCCAGTACATATGCTAAGGGCAGGGACAAGCAGGACATGTGTGGGCATCTCGATGTCTGGGAAAGATTCAGTCAGCCTGCTTCATGCTTTCCCTGTCCTCCACACTACATACGTAATTATAATTTGTACTTGTCTCACTTCAATTGAGATTTTGTCTTCCTCTAGTTCTTCTATGGATGACCTGCTGCCCACCTGCTAAGGTTCTGGCCTACTTTGTCCACCAGCTCTAATCTTATTTCCTCTGGAACCTCATTTCTCCATCCATCTTTTCTAAGAAGCCTGAAAGATGCGCCTGCTCAGCCCTTCCTGTCTGCCCAAGCCTATATGTTTATGCCCACTTCAATCCTGGGAGTTCCCAGAGCCACTCCTGGTAGACTGTTCTTCCTGCAGTACCGCAGCCTGGCTGACCTTGGAACTGACACCAGCCTTGAAACTGAAATGATTTGAACAGAATGTCAGAGCAGGATGGCAATGAAAAGACGGAAGGTGAGATCAAGGCTCCCATGCCTGAAACACTCAGATGCCCCAGCCTCCATGGTGACACCGCTTCCTTGGTCTTCTAAGTTCCTCCTCAAGTTCCTTACTTCTTTTGACTAAAAGGAAGGCTATGCAAAACATATGCATCTGCTCATAGTGTCTTCAAGTGCCCAGTGAACATATGAAGAGGTGACCAGCTGCGTTAGCCATTAGGGAAACACAACAGAAGCCACAGCGCCCCCCAATGGCTGAGTTGAAGAGGCAAACACTACATGTCGTCGATACACAAAGCAGCAGAATTTCTTAGATGTCACTGGTGGGAGTGTCCGTGTGATGAACGTAATCTAGATCCACCTGGGAAAGAAGCCTCGAAGAAGGAGTGTTCAGATTCGCTTGGCCCTTCGAAGAGGCCTGTGAGGGATCTCTTGATTAGGTTAATGGAGGTGGAATGACCCACCCTAATTTGGAGGAAAGCATTCCATGGGCTGGATCCTGATATTTAGTGAGCTGCCAAGATGTCTCAGATAGATAGTAAATCCTGCTGCACAGGCACGAGGGCCCAAGTTTGACTGAATCCTATGGCCCACATAAAAATCTAGGTGCAGTGTGTGCCTGTAATCTCACCACTAAGGACATGAGGACAGGAGGCTCCCTGAGACTTACTGGCTGGCCAGCCTAGCCAATCATTAAGACCTTGTTTCAAAAGTAAGGTGGAGAGTGATTAAGGAAAACACCCAATGTCAACTTCAGGCTCTCACATGTGCGCGCACACAGCACTTTCTTCAATCCAACCTATCAGGACCTGGCCCTTAAAGGATGTGAAATGCACCCAGAAAACATTGGCAATATCTGTTCATCAGTCTCCATCTTTGAGGGGAACCCTGCTATGCCATGCATCTCTAGAAAGGAACAGGGTTGTGAAGCCTCCAGGCTTTCAGGTTGACCTGTCATTCCATTCCCAAGAGAATACTATTCCCTGCTCCTGTCACTTTCTTCCCTTCCACAAAGCAGTCTAATGGCCTCCAAACTCACCTTAAAGTTGGACCTGCAGATAGTAGCCGCCTGGCTCATTCCTTCTCCTGTCAGAAATTGAGAAGTAATACTTATGAAGATGTAGTCCCGCTGATCAAGAAAACTTTTCAAATTGCTTCCAGCTGTATGATCTGATTTCACTTAGTCTATAGAACAGTAAACTCAGAGGATATCAGAGCTGGGATATGCTCACTGATTCCATCTCGTCCAGGAAGGGAAAAGATGTGCACCTAAGCTGTCAGTTTCTTCTCCCACAACCATAGCAAGCATCACTAGCTAACAGGCGTGTGTACTTTTTACCACAGTGTTCCTGGTATCCAGGCCATCGAAGACAACATAACCTGAAACCTACATGTGACCTTGATCAATCACAACCTGCTACCTTCTGGACAGCTGGTCTACCTGCTACACTTCTGAATGACAGATGGTACAGAAGTTCACCGTTAATGCCAGCAGTCCTTACTAAGCACCTACTCCATGCAGCGAATGCTGCCGTGTTCTGGAATGGTCTGACCACGAGGAAGTGCTTCCACCTTCAAAACCCAGCTCTTTCCTTGGTGCTGGCTGGTTCTCTATCACAGGAGATGTGTTCTGTAGCCCCACAGGAGGGCAGGGTGCCCACACTGCCCTTTTTCAACTCTGTCCTTCTCGTGTCAGCTTGGTAACTCAGAGCTGTCACTTCAGCACTGTACCTTGGGATCTGTTGTGCTTTCACCCCGTCCTGTCCCTCCCCATCAGTGCCCTTCACCGACACAGAGGGAGATGCCCACAACAAGTGCAAGATGCACTCCAAGGATATGTCTGCTGGATTTACAACCCTGGCACTTAGTTTCACCCTAGCCCTGCCAGCTCAGTGACTCAGGGTACTCCTTCCTCTTGAGCCTTAGTTTCCTGGAATGAAAGATCTGAGCGTGGTGATGCATGCCTTTAATCCTGGCACTTGGAAAGCAGAGGCAGGTGGATCTCTGTGAGTTAGAGGCCAGCCTGGTCTACTAATCAAGTCCAGGACAGCCAGAGCTACACAGAGAAATCCTGTTTGGAGAGAGAGAGAAACATGAAAGGATGAGACTAGCATAGGGTGCGACAGTGGCTCTTAGGTCTTTCCTAGATGGAGCATCCGGCTACTTGATTCTTAAGAAACCAAGTCTCAGGCACAGTCTGTTCTCCCAAAGGTCCTGAGTGTAATTCCCAGCCACGTGGTGGCTCGTAACCATCTGTAATGAAATCTAGTGCCCTCTTCTGGCCTGCAGGCACACAGACAGGCAGAATAATGTATAAATAATAAATAAATAAGTCTTTAAAAAAAGAAAAAGAAACAGAGTCTTCTGCCACTCCTGAAACCCAGGAACTGACCAAAAGGACACAGCAGAGCCTGTGTGTGAATACAGACAAAAGGAGAGAAATTGAGAGAATAAGGAGCTAGCTAGAGTTTGGCTTTGGGGAACTACATGTGTCCCCCAGGCAAGCTCTCTTCCACCCTAAACATGAAGATATCATCTGCCTCTTCCTAGTCACAGGATCTGTTCTGGACCTTTCTATGAAACAGTTTCCTTAGTCATCACCATCACACTACACAATGAAAGCTATATTTCCCGTTTCACAGATGACAAACTAGGACATTATTTGGTAACTAGTCCAGCTCCAAGCCTGGGCAAGAGTAGAGCTGAGACTGGACCTCCACCGCAGCCTGCACAGCAGGCCCCTCACACCACAGCTCAGTAGCAGAGGTTCAGTGGAGGCAAGCCAGCAACATGGTTCTCTGGATTGCTCCCGATGCAGCTCAGGGTTGAGTCCTACTTCTCACAGTCTCAGGAGCCTGGGAGATCAGGCTTTCAAACAGGTATTGATGAAATGTGTCCCACATCTGGGGTGCAGGGTAAGGCCGGTAGATGGCAGTGACAGATGTGAACAGAGACTAGGTCGACCCCGGCTGGAAGGCTGCAGAATCAAACACGGGGCTCCAGTGTAGGACAATGCCTCTGAACTGGAGGATGACCCTCACACTCTTACTTTCTCCACAAGAGCCTCACACAGCCTCCAGTTGCCTCTAATTCCACCCAGCCAAAGCTAAGGATTCATTGGGGCAATGGCACCTGGCCATGCCTACCCGCTGAGCCTGGGCAACATCACTCACCCTATTACATACCTTTCAAAGCAACAGACAGGTTGATATCAAATGTATAGGGCTGGCCGTGGCAGAGATATGGCAAGGGCTTGGGGTCCTAGAGGGAAGAGCACATCAAAGGTGTGGCTATCAGGAGGGCTGAGTTCCCAGCAGCCTCTGCTCTCCAACACAGAGTGTACCATGTGGCAGTAATATTTCTTCTTCAGGGACCCAGTTCCTGCACACTGTCCTTTGTTGGGCAGTAAAAGCCAGGAGGTCATAGGTGCCACACTTGAAAAAATAAGCAGGAGTATAAGCAGGTTAGAGGTCACAGGGCCAATGGAGCAATGCTTCAGGAAGATGGGGTAAGATAGCCTTGGGAGGGAGACAACGAGAGATCAGAGATGGACCACAGAACCTGTGAGGAAAGGCTAGGACAATAGAAAGGGCAAAGTGAATGCCCTGGGAGGCAGAGGTCCTGGCAGCAGTGAAGCCAGCTGCCCTGTTTGGTACTGGAAAAGCTGGGAAGGCAGTTGATGGCCAGGCAGAATGCTGCACATTGGGCAAAACAGTATTTTCCCAAAATACAACACGAAAATCATTTAGCAGGACATAGATCATTCTGGGTGATCTGAACAGCTGTGTCTTTTTAATGGCAACAGCGTGACTGGTGATGCTTGTGGAGAATACAGCTCCTTCTTAGTGCAGGAAGGGTTAAACTAGAAACTGCTTCAGAGGAAAAGACACTGATTAGTTGAGAAGGGGCAAGAGGGGTGACAGCTGTACGTAAACAACTTGGGAAGGACGGAGGCAGCTGGGGTCCAGACAGCCCTGTGAAGATGGACCTGGGGGAAGGACGATGGAGGAGAATGTGGGTCATTAAAAGCAGTGGCCCAGCAGGTCCTGTGATGGCAGATAATGAGAGGGAGGGTGGAGGGAGACAAAGGGGAGAGAGACCAAGAGAGGGGAGAGGTGGTGCCACAGTGGAAACAGCTAGGGAAGATCCAAGGAGATAGACTGAAGGCCTTGCAGGGGATTTTATGAAGGGCCACTTTGCAGGGAAAGTCCCCAGGATTGTTCAAGCATAAAATGACGTGAATGAGGGAGGGAGAAAGCACTGAACTACACAGGCCAGTGAGACAATGCCTGGGAGAATGTGCAGAGGGAAGCCTGCAGAGCCCTCTGCAGGAGAATTGGACCCATGGAGGGACCAGATAGGTCATTTGCCAGAGTCATTTTAAGAGAACATCCTTGAGAGTTAGAACCTACAAGGTGTTGGCCGTAAGGGCAGAATACCTGTAGTGAAGGGGTGGGACAGAGAATATTATGACAGGCTGGGGAGAGTGAGGGCCACTAGCCCAGGCCTGGACAAGGGTACTGGGGACCCTGTTGCAGAGACACAGGCACTTTCCTCTATACCCTCTATTCCAAAATTCATTCTACAAATCAGACTCCAGAGGGAGCCATTGCACAAACCAAAAGTGTGCAATGAGGCAGCTGTGCAGTTAAGGTTTTGCCAGGCACGTTCCCTGAACTCGGAAGGCTACAAAATTATGTCTTTCTCTATGAACTGTGTTGGAGGGAGAAAACCCCCGCAGCCATGGCTTCATGGACACTGCACCAGAATCCTCCAAGCACCGCACTGTCTCAGTTATTTGTTCAGAGGACAAAGGGAAAGGGCAGAAGCAGGAACTTAGAGCAAGCCTTTCAGCAGAGGAGTGTTTACCTGTTCCGGGTTGGGCACCACAAAGGGCATGAGGGCATCCATGGGGACCACCCACGGGGAGATGGTGGTTCCAAAGCTCTTCCCCAGGAATGGTCCAAGGGGAACATACTCCCACTGCTGGATGTCTCGTGCTATGGGAGAAGAAAAGCTTAGGGCCCCCAGTGGCTTACAGACTCACTCCAAGCTGCTTCCTGCCTTTGACCGGCATGGACCTCTCCTAGCATGTGTGAACCCATCTCCTCTCAGCAGAGTCACTGGCTAAAATCTCTCCCAACTCAGCTCTTCATAAGAAGGTGATGGTGCTGGCAATAGTAGGTGATGGGTAGGGCTTGACAAAGCTTTAGGCTCTGTCAATTCCATACTTCCACGTATGAGGAAGCTGTTCAGGGGGGCTGTGACTGGTCCACATTCTCAGAGTCAGAAGTCTGTAGTACCACCCTTGCAGTAGCTAGGCCTCCTGCCCTGTACCCAATCCCTGCGTGTGCCCCTCAGAACAGAACATCACAGGCGGTCGTTACCACTCCAGTCGTTCATGAGGACCATCCCGAAAATGTGTTCATGGGCTTTGGAAATGGGGATTGGCTCTCCAAATCTGTTCCCAGGGCCTACAAAGAAAGCCTGCCGTGGGGGAAAGTTGGTTAGAACCTAGATGACCTGTCACTCTGGGACACCATGGCTCACAGAGCAAAGGGGAAATATTTCCGAAGTCCAACCAGGGACCAGGGCTGCCTGAGGACCTGGACCTCGAGGACAGGGTGCACCCATGTGTGCCCTGTCTCCCTACCAGCCCCATGACAGCTTCTTCCTGACCCTCGGAGCACCCCCAGGCCTTTCTGCTCCTTCCTTTGTTCCCCATACTCTATGTCCTATTGTTTGACAGTTCTATGACACTTGTAAAGAATAAAAAAACAAAAACAAAAACAAAAAAAAACCCATCAGGTGTGCTGATGATAGAAGCACCTGAGATGTTGATGGCCATGAACCAAAAGAACATTCAGTAATGTCTAGGGGAAAACTAAAGGCAGGAGATTCTGAACAGTACAGAATCACCCACATTCATGAAGCCAGGGTCGCAGTTTTATCTGTTCTGAGACAGGGCTTAAACAGTGCAGAAATTTTGTCAAGACAGACAGATCTAAGGGCACTGAGGCACGGAGGATCCTACCACTTTCAAGTTCGGGGGATCCCTACCTCATTTCCTACAACCACAGGTGAGAGTCTTCAGGACTCTCCAAATCAAATGCTTAATTTAGATAAAAAGTGGAGCCTGTGCTGCAAGCCTGGTTCTAAAGTGATGCAGGCCCTGACACAGGTACAACAAGGCAGAAATGGCCGCTTGATGCTTGTTGTTCATGTGACAGTATATAAAACCAGCATGAATAGGAGCAGACAAGGTAAACCGGGACCCTACAACGAGAAGCAAAAAGCTGGGTTTTCACGGCCATTTGGCTACAACCCTCACCGACTGAACAGGAAGTCATTCTACTAACCACATTTTACCTTTCTGTTACAGACCGCCATCAACAGCTACAGCTTAGGTATGAATGGGGCTTTCCTAACACGTCTCTTTAAGGGGCATCTGCCCTCTAGAGAGCACAAGGGACCTCCACATTGGGGGGGGGGCCATTATAAATAACCAAATCAGCTCAAATCACACAAGAAAGTGGAAAATACAGGCAGGGAAACTACCCAAAAAACACCCCACGTGTTTATAGAATGAAACCTGCAACAAGAAGACAGGGAGCCTGGTGCGACCTCAATTGGGGACAGGTGTGTGCATCAGGAGACTCAAATTTTCCACTTCTCTGTGTGGCAATGACTTGTGTTAATATTTGAGTTGCAAATAAGCTTTAGCAAGTGGGAGAATTCACAAACACAGAACCTGAAGAAAGGGCATCAACTTCACTCAGTGGTGAGATGGGGACACGGGGCTGCATTTGTGGCTGGACAGGTGTAAACTGCTACCCCAGGGAGCTTTCCTGCTGCAGGCCTTTGTAGAGCCCACACAATAAAACTCCACCCGTAACTCACCATTTCCAGCTCCACATCTAGGAGTCTGCAGGCATTGTACACAGGAGGCTTTGCTGGAAAGACAGCAGACAAATGGAACCATTAACACCAGGCTACAGAGCTCATAGCGACAGGGCAGAGCTAGGCGTTGGCAGGGCCTGGGTACTGGAGTCACTTACAGTTATCAGGTCTCATCTGTCCCATGGGTCTTCGGATTGGGGTGCCCGACACCACAATGGAGGAAGCGCGGCCATGGTATCCCACAGGTAAGTGGAGCCTGATAAAGGAGGGAGAGAGGGCATGGGTGCCAAAGCTGTTACACGTGGTAAACTTCAGAGATAGAGTCAGTATACAGTCATTAGTCAAAAACTAAAACATGTCCCCAAGTGTCTACTGATAGATCAGTGGAGAAACCAAGTATCATATGGGAGGGCATCATTTGACTTTAAGAAGAAAAGGGGGCAGGGCATGCCTGCAATCCCAGCACTCAGAAGGCAGACGCAGGAGGAGTAACACAAGCTTGAAGCCAGCCTCATATACATAGTTTTAGGCCAGCCAGCACTAGCTACGCAGTGAGGAGGAGGAGGAAGAGGACGAGGAGGAGGAGGAGGAGGAAAAAAACAGGTTTTCTTGACCACAGACAGAATGTTGCTGCTTCCTTTGTGGACTCTGCCCATCTCCAATACAAGGGAACCCTGGGAATAAATCATATGACTCAGAGCAAACTATCCAAGGCTGGGGAACGCTGTCAGAAAATACTTGTAAAACAAGAACCCAACAGGGAAATAAAAGAGTTTTCCCAAATATCAAAATACTACCAAGCAAGACAGGGCCAGGGATGCTCTTAGACAAACACAGGGAATCACGTGTGCATGAGAAGATAGTATATAATAAGCACGGATGGCCGTATTCGATAAAGCAAGAGGTTAGGCCTGCAGTGCAGTGAGCGGCAACTCCCCAAGAGATCTGTCTATACCCCAGCCCCTGAGAAGATGTAGGAGTAGTCTTTTTAGATGTAACTAATAGCCCAGGATCGTCTGAGAGTCCCTATATCCATCCCAGTGTGTGCTTGTACAAGGTAGAAGACATGGAGAAGGAGAGATAGCCACGTGAAGGCAGATGAGAATGATATAGCCTCAGGGACTGCCCATGGTAGCATTTAAGTGGATATACGGTCGGACTTGCAGGACAGGACATGCTAGGCTGGTCTCTGGGCTTAAGGTGTGTGGCTATGACAGGTGACTGCCCTGCACAGGTCCAGCCAATCAGATCAGGAAAAATAACCCAGCAGACTCTCTAGCCCTAAAGAAGCTGGCTGTCACCATGGTGGCAGAACTGCTCTAGCCAAATGACAAGGATCAGGAAGTGAGACGCAAGGCTGGGTGAGGAAATAGGTCCTTACCCTCCTCTGAACCAAACTGAGGAGCCTCAGCCTTTGGCCTGCATTTCTTTCACAGGGCGATAACAAAAGGCCTCCTCTTGCCATGTGTGATTCAGGGTGGTCCTCGCTGCTGCCTTTTGTTTACCTTATACACATGATCTTTATTATAAAGATAATACAGGATGAGGTTCTCTCCTGTAAAATGCTTGAGACTGAAAGTATTTTAGATTTCTGATTCTTGTTTCATAATGCTAGTGGTTAGAAGAGTACTGGCAGCTTGCTAGCAAAGGAATCTAGAGGATCAGGCATCAGGCAGAGTCTAATCCCCTGCCTGTTCTCCAGAGGGCAGCTGAAAGGACCTACCCCCAGGCTCCTGACAGCTAACCAGTAAAGTGCTGAGGGGACCAAAAGCTGGGCCTGCTGTTTCTAGAGGCTGTACCATCATCAGTTCTGGTCTGCCTGCCTCCCACCCTCCACCCTGGGCCAGGCTACTTTGACCAAAGAGGGTCACTGCAGCTTTTGGGAAAGCATACTGTACAGAGCTGACTTTGAATGTATCCCAGCCTCTGGTCTAGGACATACCAATTGGGCATCAGCGCATTCTCCTTGTCCCTGAACATAATGCCAACATTAGTGGCATGCTGCCGAGAGGAGTAGAAGTCCGTGTAGTCTCCTGCAGAAAGAACACCCAAAACAGCCAGTGATCCAGATGGAGGAAGTCCAATCCCAAGAGTAGGGACTCAAACCATTCTTCAAGATTCAAGGACCCCTTACCACAGAGGGGAAAAAAAAAAAACAAAACAAAACTAAGCTTTCTGAATCAGACAGTGAGATTCAAGTATGAAAGGGCTGCCACCACTTCCCTCCCAACTCGAACCATGTACCATAGGTGTCCAGAAAAATGAACAATAGGGTCAGACTTGCAGGGCCCTGCAGACTGTGCCAGATTCTATGCTCCTGATTAAGGTGGGTGGAGATGACAGACTGTGGCCCTGAGCTGTGACCCTCACATGGACAATCCTTGTCATGCCTTTGCTTAATATATGCAGCTCCCTAGCCTCCCTTCTCCCTTACCTCCACTGGTTTAAATCCTGGCAACTCTGAGGCCCCATTACCCTTCTTTGGTGTGCACTTCACTGTACTCTAGTCCTATGTGTGTAGATCATCACCCAACTGTCTTCATTCAGGGCAGTCCCAGCTCAGCCTTCATTTCATGTGCCTGGCCCTTAGCACCAAAACCGAGGGAGCTTGTCTTTGTACTTGAACTTGCATATCAGTGTCTGTTGATTGTGATAAGCTGAACATGGAGGTTTATGAACTCCAGATATCCCCTCTCTCATATGTGAAGGAATAACTACATCTACCGGAAAATCCACTTAGGGTTGTTTGCTTGCTCACCATCCTAAACCTTCTACTCACACCCCCAAAGCAAAGCTGAGTACATCAGTCCCAGCAGGCTTGGGCTAAAAGCGGAAGTGGAGGGATAGGGAGAGGAAACAAAGTCTGGTGGCCAGCTAAGCAAGGGTGGAGAGAAGGAGCTGTACTTACTGCTTCCCACCTTCAGCCCTACGCACAGAAGTAACAGTGAAGGTATTTATCACAAGAACAGTCACACCCATAATAGTAAAAACAAGAAGTCACAGCTGGAAAGGATGAAGGATCCCCAGAAAACATCTGGTTTGCCATAAAAGCATTAGCACAGTCCTACAGGAAAGCAAAAGATGAGTCCATCCTCAAGCCTGTCTTCTACCTAGCTGTTGGACACTAGCACCTCTGAAAGGCTTCACCAAATGGAGAAACTGGTTCAAGAAATTCCACCCTTCGGGGGCAGGGCTGTACAGCTCTCAATTATAGGTGCCCAGGCAAGAGCAGAGGCTACCTCTCAAGGCTGGCATACAGGGATGTGGCCTATGCCTGGCCACAGGCTGATAGGCTCATCTCAGCTTCAGGGTGTGCTGACAGCAAGTTGCTGATTCAGTCAAACCAGATACCTGGACAAATGCATATATGGGCCCTGCAGGGCCCTCTGGCTTTCCTCAAAATACCTTCACCTGACAGCTCATAGCATGTATCCCACAACTTTCTGAAAAGAATGAGCAAATTGCTGTATGAGGAGTCACGTAGCTAATCACAAATTTGGGCTCTGGGAGAGCAGGCATGAGACAACTGGGCAAAGGCTGTGTGAGGAGCTCAGTCACGTTTGGATCAGCTGGCAATCCCAGAGTCCTCACTCTGTTTCCTCTCCACCAGGATATGGGGACCAAAGCATCTGTCTAGCCATCTAGGCCCACTAAACTACTCAGGTTGACATAGCAGGAAACCAGAACTCACCTATGGTAGCAGGAAGGTGCATCGTGGCAGAAGCCTGGGAGGTGAAGGCACTGAAACACAGAATCAAGGGCTCCATGCAATCTTCCAGGCCCAGAGCCCTCCCACCAACATGCAGCCAAGCAGGATGCTAGGTGAACATGGCCAGACTGTACCAGGCCAGGCAGCTAAGCAGAACGCCACTACTCTGCCCAGGCCTCATCTCCCCTGACATATCCCTCTTTCCCCACGTGTTCCTCACCGCTGCCGAAGCTCCTTGTCATCTCTGAGCCTGGCTTGGCTGGCAGACAACAAGTTCTGCAATGATGCTCTTGCCTCCTTCCATGCAGCTTGGCCTAAGCTCATAAAGCTGTTGAGAGTTGTCTAAGACCAAAACAGGAACAGAGAAAGTAACGCCTGAGAAAACCCTGGGCCATCCCTCCTGCCAGAGTCTGATTTCTCTCCATCCATTCACAAGTTGGGACCTTTGTTCACATTTTTTTTTTTTTTGTCCTCTCAGCATAGAGCTGGAGAAAGCTGTCTCCTTTTCTGATGCCGCATCTACTCCTGGATATGCAACCCACAATCAATGCTCAAAAGCTATTTATGTGGACAGCAACCCACTTATCTAGTGACAAAGCTGACTGTGTGCCAGAGGGTGGCCAGGAAGACTGATGGAAAGGAAGGGTGCAAAGCTCCTGGTCAGAAGAGGTACTTGGTAAATACCACAACCATCCCTGCCTATGTGCCAGGAAAAAGCAGATCCTAAGTGCTGACCTGTGACAAAGGGAGGAAAGTTATATCCATCCCACACAGACATGGAGGCCAAGCTGGTTGTCCCCAGGCACTAACTGCACACCTGGATGACAGGACAGCCATCCTACATGGACACACAAGCAAGGCTGGATGCTCCGGGGCTGTACCCTTGAAGAACTCGGCAGCCATCCCTTATGAACATGGAGGCCAGGATGACTGTCTCATGCTGTACCCCAAACCTGGACGGCAAGGCTCACAGATCCTTTTATCAAGGTTTTCCTGGGCCTTAAAAGACCAAAGCATGAATATTCAAATACAAAAAGGAACCAGAATGACAGAATACCACTTCATAGGCAACTTGGCGAGACCCATTGGACTCAGGAGCTCACATCTTCTGAGAAGCTATCCTAAGGTACCAAGGATACCTCCTGCCACCTATATGTCTCAGAAAAGCTCCCACTTATCCAGGGATAACCCGTGACTAAGAAAACACTATGTCATTTGAAGTATGTGGTAAAATGGAGACAATCCATGACACAATATCCCACCTCGTCAAAGACATGCTGATGTTTGGAGAGGACAGGTCCGGTAAAGAGGTGTTTGATGACACTGAGGTCCAAGATCTGGTCACCGATGGCCACACCAATCCGTGGCTTTGGCTAGGAGGAGAATGACATAGTCAGTTCTGACAGCCCCAGCGCATTCACTGTAACAGCAAGTACTTAGGGACCCATGAGTTCCTTTGAGACAACCTTTGTAAAGAGAGGCCAGAGGATCTGGATCCAGCACAAGAAAGAAAGCAGAGCTCTAATCTCTTGATGGGAAATATTTCAAACACCCCCATAGAATAGAGGAAGAATAGGTAGCCTGTGGAGGCAAAGTTCCAAACATTCATTGCTTATATGCCTCTAGTAATGAGGTCTTCACTACTTTACCAGGAACCTGAATCCTTTTTCATGCTGGGCCCAGGGCTTTGCTTAGGGTCAATTCTCTTATGAAGTAGAGTGAGTGTTCCATGTGTATTAACATGAGTGTCAGCTCTGTGGTAGCACAAATGCAGCAGAGCTCGGGTTGTAGGGAGCTGCAGAAGCCATGGTGCTCAGGGCACATGAATGAATTTCTTTTATGATGAGAGCTCTGCATGAGTCCAGATGAATACAATAGCCCAAATATCATGTCAAGGCTGGTCTCTGATCTGACAACACTGAGCATGCTGGAAGATTTCACCTCCTAGAACTCTGTCCTAAGCCAGACTTCTTTGGCACCTGAACCAGCAGTTCTGCCATTCTAGGAGATTCATGGGAGCTGGGAGATGGAATTCTTGGCTGTCCCTGTCTCCAGTGCCTGCTTCTTTTGGTGAGCTAAGAGAAGTGGCTGCATGGCAGCCCCCAGGGCTTAGGGATAGACCAAGGCCACATCACTCTGGGAAGCTTCCCTGGAGAGCCTATGTGCTCTCGGCTCCGTTACTCCCTGGGCTTCAGTCTCCCCACTCTGCTCCAAAGAACACGAGGCTGAGCTACATGAATCCAAGTGACAGACAACTCAGGTGATGTACAGGAAAGACCCTGGGACAATCACCTCTCTCACTGAGTCACTCCTGCGACCTGATCATAAGCATCACCTGGCTAGTCATATGTGAACTAAAAATCATGCAAAGTCACTCTGGTGCTATATAAGCTGCCAAGAGAGGGGAGTAATCAGTAGTCTTACCCAGCTCTAAAGCCAGTGAATCACAACAATCACTGGAATAGCAAGATATCCACAGAGCTGTAATAGTGGCACTAATATCTTGATGGCACCCAACAGCTGTCTAATTGCACTTAAGACCTGCTCAACAGGAGGAAATTCAGGCCTGTTATAAACCTAGCCAACTGCCCTTGGTTGGAGAGATCACAGAACCAAGAGGAGAACCTGCTACTGCCATTTTCCTAAACCGGTATAATATCTAAGTGTGTTCTAAATATGTATCCTTACACCCTCAGGGAACTCTAGCTCTCACCCCTCATCAAAGATCTTCCTTTTGCAATAGATAGAAACCATTACAAAATACAAAATACTAAGAACAATGATCCTGACAAAATACAGAGAACAAGCCATCATGGGGTGTCCAGCCCTAATTTATATCTGTAATATAATCCGTATTCCTAAGGCTCAGGAAAAATCACCCAAAAGGAAGCAGAAAGAATTTAAGATCCAGAGGCCCAGGATGTCTGTTGATAGATCATCTTCCCTACACATGACCAGAGAAATGTACCTAAAAACTCTCAACAATGTGGCTGCCTGAACAAGACTAGCATAATGACAGCAGCTAGCCTGCCAATGCTGACGGAAAATTCCGCATGGTCCCAACCTTAGATGAAGAACTACAGGAGGTGGAGGTCAGCAGGGACGAACTTCCACACAGGTGGCCCAATCCCAGCGGTCAGCCCTGGATACTTGTGCATGTGAGCAAAGCTAAATGCGTCCAGTAGGTCATATATACGTATGGATATACACATAATAACGATAATTAAAGGAGAGATTATGAGATTTGAGAAAGGGAAGGGAGACGACGCTGGAGAGACGAGGAGGAGGAGCAGGGATGATATAGATGCTGTGCTTGCATATGAAATTCTCAAAAAAAAATTTTTTTTTAATTACTACTAATAAAAAAAAAGCCAGGCAAGGCGTTACACACCTTTAATCCCAGTGCTCAGGAAGCAGACCAGGGGGTCTATAGATCTTAGTCCCAGGACAGCCAGGGCTACCCAGGGAAACCCTGTCTCAAAAAAAAAAAAAAAAATCATCATCATCATCATCTGAAACGGCAGAGTTTGGTGTCTGAAAAGCCTCCAGCCACTAAAAGAAGAACAGTAACTCCAGATTCTCTGGGCAAAGCAGGTTGGAGCTCTTTACTGCCTAGTCAGGTCCCGATAGTGTGCCTACCTGGGTGAATGTCCCTGCCTAGCCCACTGGTGCTCCATGCAGAGAGCCTGCATGAGGGCAAAGTATCACAAGAGGCCAGAGGGAGTATTTTGCTTCCAGAAGGTGGTTGGCTGGCGCAACTTAAAGCTCCACACACCTCATATTTGGAAAGGACAACACGTTAACTTTGTGTCCTTGCAACATCTAGTCATGCCTCGTGGTTATGAAACCACCAGTTGACTTTTCTGACCACTGCATTCAGCACAGGCACAATACAAAAGGGCAACAGACGTGAAGAATGGTATCAGCTGCCAGGAACTGCTTCCTTCCTTAGGCAGGTGCGTGCTAACCAAGCAGTCTACCACTACGCTTCTACCTGTCAGTCCTGGCAAAGATATCCGGACTCCTGTTAGATGCAAGCAGTTCCCACAGTTCTATGGTTTATAACGCTGAATCAACGCTGTGAGCAAAAAAAACAAGCTGAAAATGCCACAAACATTTCGGAGGGATGTGCTTTTCCCACCCAAGGACCCATTTATGTGTTCGCTGATAACTCAGCTCCACTAATCCGTCTGCAGAGATTCCCTTCTAATCAGACTATGCTTCCAAGTCAAAGTTCGTTTCTCTTGCCCCACGGGGCTTGTGATTAGTTCAGGGAAGGCCTAGCACCTCTCACTAGAGCAGAAAGAATTTAGGCTAGAGGTAGAAGAAACTGGTGTCTTAGACCACAGTTTCTAGACCGGGAAGTGCTTGCGTCCTCTGAATTGCTCAAAAATGTGGGAGTCGGCTGGCAGTTTGGAGGTATAGTGTCAAGGACTAAGCGGTGAAGTGAACGACCACCCGGCGTTTTGGGAAGGAAACGGCCTGCAAAACTATGTGTCCGTTTCTGGGTCAAAGTTGCATGGGACTGCTGTCCGGGAGAAACCGACCGCAGCTCCCACCTCCCCGAGCCCGAGCCCAAACGCTGAAGCTCACGTGGTTTTGAGTGGAGAAAACGCCATAGGGCAGGTTTTGGATGGGAAAGTCGGAGTCTTCAGCCACCGGAATAAAGGACATGCTGACGAGCACCCAGCAGGGAAGGCCGCAGCGGGCAGGGGTTGGCTAGCGAGACTGTACTTAGGGCAAGGTTCAGACTGGCCGAGGACCCTTAGATTCAAGGACCGCCCCGAACCCTGGACTGCCCTTCCCCGAGGCCGGTACCCGGTACAGCAGAGCGTGCGCCCGCACCCGACCCCTGGGACCGCCCCCTCGCCCTAGGAACCGCTTTAGCACCCGCCCCGGACTGCCCTACACACTCTGCTCCTCCCCCACCTCGGGCCCACCCTTCACACCACCCAGCACCCGCCCTGGGGCCGCCCCACTCGCACGCCCCTCGGCCGCCCTGCATCCTTCCCGGCCCGCCCCCATTTCTGCCGGCTTCCATCTCGGAACCGCCCGGCATCAGCACCGGCACGACCCCTTTTTCTTCTTTCCCGACCTCTCCGTACCGGTTGGGACCCACAAGACAGCCCTCCTCATCCGCCCCAGACCTGGCGGGAGCCCTGGGGTCGTCCCTGCCCAGACTTGGTCCTGCCCCCTGCTCATCCTGGAACCCGGGACCGGCCAGCCTCTAGGTCTATACGGTCCCCTTCCGGGTCCAGCACCTGCGTCTAGGTATTGGTCTTGGCTAGAACACCCAGCGCCAACGCTCCGCCCCTGTAGGTGGTTTATTTTCGTAATCTCTCAGATCCCGCCCCTTTTCAAGGTTGCCCAGCCTCCCTAGCCTTGCTTTCTTCGGGACTCCACCTCCAGTTTGCAATCTGGGATCCACCCAGTGACCCCATTCTTTTGTCTCGGGCTGCCTCCAGCTCCGCCGGCGTCACTGGATACGGAAGACGCCCTGTGGCCTGCTCGTCCGCCTGGCTGCCCTGAGTAGCCTTGCTCAGGGTCCGCAGACACACTTAGCCCGAGAGCTGGTGAAGGCGGGTGCTGGAACCAGCATCCGGAAAAGTGTGACGCGCCTGAGTGGTTTAACGTCTCAGGATTCTGCTTTAGCTTCCTTACGAACAACACTAGTGAGAGGTCCGCTTCAGAGTAGATACAAGAAGTCAGTAAGTTAATGTTGGTTGACTTCCAAATGAGAGGGAGGGAGGAAAACCTATGGACTCTGGAGCCAGACATAACTGCAAGTAAGGCTAATCACTGACTAGAAACTTGGGAGTCCGTAGTAGTTCAAGTGAGGTTTTGGGAGTACCCCTCAGACTGTGTGGCTGTGTTGGTGCAAATGCTTCAGGAACGCAATCTGATAAAACAAAAAGGATTATTTCAAGTATTTTGTATTTGCAGAGACGTGCCTTATGGCCAAAATTATGATCTATTTTTGAGAAAGTTCTGTGGGCTGCTGAGAATTTGTACTTTCTAGCTGTTGGGGAGAGTGTAACGTTTAGTATTGTCAACTTGACTGTCGATTTAGAATCACCATGGAAACACACCTCCACGTGTATGTGTGTTTCCAAAAGGTTAAATGAATGGGGACAGCACTGTCTCTTGGACGGCAGGCTTTGATTAAAGCAAAGGAGAAATGGATCCGGGCACCAGCATTCATTTCTCTGCTTCCTGGCTGTGGATGCAATGTCTTCAGCCCCTCCCCTCTCGTGGGCCATGCCTTCCTACGTCCCTTCCCTAGTATGGTGGTCTGCATCTCCTCAAACTATAAACTTAAATAAGTCTTTCCACACCTAAGTACCTCTTGTCAAGTCTTATCATTGTCAGCAATGAGAAAAGTACTTAATACAGATGGAATATTCTGTAGATGTCTATTCGGCTTATTCTAAATTGAACTCAAAAGTTTCTTTATTTAGTTTTAGAATGACCTACTTACTGAAAAGTGGCATATCAAAAATCCAAAATTATTATATCAGAACCTATCTCTTCTTTTTAAGTCCATTGATGTTTGTTTTATGAAACTGGGAGTTTTACCCAAACTTCAGTGTTTGTGTTTACGATTGCCGTATCTTTTGAACATAATTTCTTAAATCTGTAATTAATTACGTAATTAATTATGTAAGTAATTACATAATTAATCATGTAGGCAAGTAATCTTTTTATTAATACGTAGTGGCTTGGTCTCTTCTAGTTTTGGTTTGATATCTATTTTATCAGTTATTAAATTAGCCATGTCTGCTTCTATTTACTTAGTAAACTGAGTTATGCCAGACAGGTATGTTTCTTGGAGACAAGACAGTCAGATCTTTCTTTCCAGTCCAATCAACTTGTCTACCTCTTTGAAGTGAGGGTTAAAGATAATTTACTTTAAGTCATTGTTATCATAATTATTTTGCTTTTTAGAATCAAGATTCTCATTCTGGTGCTCAGGATGGTCTGGAACTAAGTAGTCCAGGCTAGTTTCAAAGTTCAGCCTCAATTTCTTGAGTACTAGACCATCATCATGCCCAGCAATACAGGCTATTATTGTGAGAGGCTTGTTAATTCTTTTAAGTTTTGGTGGGTTTGATAGGTTGGGATGTTCATCCTTTTCTTCCCTATCTGGATTAAAAGATTGCTTATTTACTGTGTTGGACAGAATGGATTGTTCCTTAGTTCTCCTTTACTAATATTTTCCTCTCGTGAAATTATTCTTTACTGTGTTCTTTTGGCTGAGCCTATCTTTCTTCCCTCTCTGTGTCCAGGATTCTCCAACTCTACTCTGTAATGCTGGCTTGGTGTTCAAGAATTGCTATAATTTGTGCTTGATTGAAATGGCCTTATTTCTCCAACAGTTTTAAGACTTTTGATAGGTTGGCATTTCTTTACCTCCAGGATTTGAAATCTATCATTCCACACTTTCCTAACTTTCATGGTTGCTTTTGTGATGACACTTTTTTCTCAATGCTTTTCATAGTTCTCTGGTCACACCAATTGGGGAAATCTAAATGGCCTCGAATTTGTTTTGTTTTTTTTTTCCTGTAGCATTAATTTTTTCCCCCCTCTAATTTCAGTGCCTTCAGATCCTCCTACCCCCATGGATTCCTAGATTTGGTCTCTTGATCACTTATCAGAGCTTTTTTTTTTTTTGGTTTTGGTTAATCATGTCTTTAATCCTAACACTTACTTGGGATGCAGGAGCAGGTGTGTTTGTAAGCAGTGTGGCCTATGCAGTGAGTTCCAGGCTAGCCATGGCTACATAGTGAGATTCTATCTCAAAACAAACACATGCATGCACAGCACGCATGCACAAAACCAATTCTCTTGCTAAATTTCTCATCCATTTTCCTTACTTTTTCATCTCTGGGTTCTGAAAGTATTTTCTTTCTTCATCTGGTTATTTGTATACTCCTTGAAGACATTAGTCACTTTTTACATGTAAACTTTTCAAACTTTCACCCAGAATTTTACCGATGTATATGTATATACATGTATATGTGTGTACGGTAAGAGCCTCAGGTAGTCCTTCCTGCCTGGCCTCAAGCTTGCTGTGTATCTGAGGAATTCTTGATCCGAACTCCACCTTCTGACTTCTGAGTTTACAGGTGTGTGCCATCAGTCTGGGAATGTGGTGCTGGGGGTAGAATGGGCAAACAGTTTAGCAACTAAACTATATTATCAACTCTTCACCTCAAATTTCTCTTACTATATTCCAGAAGTTTTACCAGTAAGTCTGTTTTTATTTTATGAAAGGTTCAATGTGTGTCTCTATTCATTTTTGTTGTTTGAATACCCAGTCACCTCTCACTGCTGGTGGAGAAGGCTCCTCATTAAAGGGGTTTTCTCTTCTCTGAGTTTTCTATATTTATCTTGGCTTATCTCTGAACTGATCTGCGGGAGATAAGTCTTCCACCAGTATCAGTCTTCATTACAGAGTCAGTGTAAATTTTGGACTGTGTTAATTTTCACCTTGTGGTTTAGAACATACGTGGTTTAAAATTACACACACACACACACACACACTCTCACACTGTTCTGGACCTTTTTAATCATGTTGGTGTCTAAAACATAATTTGCTGGGATTATTGGAATTGTACTCTATGTACCAACCAGAGTGGAGAACAGTCCCTGTCCGCTCTCCATCAATGACTATGGACCAGCTCTCCTGCTCCACCTATCTTTGATTTCTCATTAGTTTTAATTTTTCCTGACATAAATCTTATAACTTACTTTAGACCTACAACTACGTATCATTTTTGGTGATGCAAACCTAATTTCTTATTCAAAATGTCCATGCTGGTATGAACAGTGACATTTTATAGATTGCATTCTTAACATAGCTGCTTCTAGTTACCAGAACTATGCTAATTCTTTTAGATTTTTTAATATAATGATATGCCCTATGCAAATGAATACAGGCTCCCTCTTCCCAGTCTGAGCAGCTTTTCCTATCATATTACTTGAGCAGTATGAAACAGGATAGAAAGAGCTACATTTTTGCCTCACTGTGCCTCAGGGGGAAAGTATCCATTTTCTCAGCACTTAATATATTAAGCAGGTTTGGGGCATATTTTTCCTTTTCTTTTAATCTGTACAGTTTCTCCATATTCCTAGTTTTTTTTTTAATTATGCATGGCTGTTGGATTTTTCCTGGATCTATCAATATGACCATGATTTTCTTCCTTAGACTGATTGATGTGGTGTTAGAAAGCACAACTAACCCTGTAGACCAAGAATATATCCTGCCTGATTGTGGTGGATAGTTTTTAAAATACATTTTTCTATTGCCCAATTTTTGTTAAGGACTTTTGCATTGACATTTATGAGATGCACCTGTCTGCTATCTCATACTGTATCTGATAGAATACATTAGAAAGCATTCTCTCAGGGCTGGAGAGATGTCTCAGTTGTAGCTAGTCTTTGCTACTTTGTGGGTTCATTTTCCCACTCTTTATACCCCGTCTCACCCCTTATCACTAGATATGAAAGAGGATAGAAGGGAGACAGAGATCCTTAAGTCTAACTTCTTTCGTCTTATTTCTTCTTTTGAGCACAACTAACAAACCATAACCAAGCCCCCTGAATAGCCAACAACCACCCACCACACCTGTTGGGGCTCTAGCATTTATACAACCTGTGAAAAATTCCAGAATTCCAAATGTCACACAATCACACAAACTATCTGTAGCTTGCAAAATCATGCCTCTGCTAAAGCACCATGCAAATCATAGTCAGCTGCTGCAGACAGTCCAAAGCAGCCCCATATCCCAATACCTAAAATTAAAACATATTCCTACAATACCTCTGTGTGTTTAAAATAAGAGATCCATAATTGTCACTACTCTCAGTGTTTAAGAACAGTTGCTGCTCTTGCACAGAACTTGAACTCAGTTCTGTGTAATTCCAGTTCCAGAGGACCAGAGGACCTGATGCTCTTCTGTGACTTCTGCAGGCAGGCATGAAGTACACACACATATGTGCAAGGCAAAATATCCACACAAAAAGTACAATCTTGAAATCTTAAAAAGAAAACAGGCCTTTCCTCTGCTACTACATTCTACAAGAGATTACAGAGAATTAGTTCAACTTCTTAAGTGTTTGGATTTACTAGCTTACCTACTAGGGACTTTACCCCAGGAAGATGATTATACGGTGTCTTTAATGTATAAAACCCTGTTCTGTCTGTGAATCTCACAAGAGTTTGTTCCTGTGGCTAATTAGCCAACAAACAATCCGTGTGACATTTTCTTGTTTAATGAAGTAGGAAAGCCCAGCCTCCATAGTATCGTGGTCAGTGCCACCCTTGAGCAGGTGGTCTTGGGTTATGTAAGTCAAACTAGCAATCCACGGGAACAAGGCAGTAACAACTCATTGCTTCTGCTTTAGTTCCTGCCCCTGACTTCCCTCAGTCATTCCTGGACTGTAACCTGGGTCTTATAAGCCAAATAAACTCTTTCCTCCCTAACGCGCTTTTGGCCAAGGTGTTTATTACAATAGGAAGCAAACTAATACAGGGACTCTTAAGGACCTGGCCAGTCATCAAACTTACCCATTTTTGTGGGCATAGACTGGCCAACATACATACATAAATACATATATATGAACTATTACATATAAACACATGTAGAACATATATATAATACATATGTATTTCAATCTTTCCATGTTCCAGTATCTATACTGATGGTTCTTCTTCCCTCCTGTTAAAGACCACTTCCCCAAAACATTACAGATGTTAGTGAACACGGGGGCCCTCAGAGGTTTCTAGTTGGAAAGGTCTTTCATTGGCTATATTCATCTCATCTCCACATTCCTCATTCATCCCATTTGTCCCTTAATTTTTAAAAACATTTTAAAGGTTTATTTTGTGTACATAAACATGTCCCATACGAGTGCCTGGGAATCAAAGAGACACTGTGATATTTGGGAATTGAACCCAGATCTTTAAAAGCAACAAATACTTAACTGCTGAGCGATCTCTCTAGGCCCCTGTGAATTAGTCATAATGTTTACACACTAAAAAAGGAAAAGCATAAAGCTAAGATGCTAGTATGAAAAAGAAGGATCAAACTACACAAATCCGCTTCTGTGAGAAAAAAGAATTCTAGCCATTATCAGTTTTGTATATATTGGCTTTACATCAGGGAAACAGGACTCTTGCATTGTATGCTTGGACTAAAGGAATCATTTCATGCAATCCAAGTGAACCTCTCGAAAAATTAAGGGACACAGAAATTCTACATCAGGACAGGAAGGAGAAAGGATAGCAGAGATTATTTTATAGTTTTACTATTTAGGCCTAGTGAAGCTGGAGGACTAGAATTTTATTAAAAATAAAAGTAACACTTAAGCTGGTTCAGAAGTCTTTTCATACACCAGCCCCAATTTCAAAATGAGGTCATCAAACAGCTTTATAATTAACATTTCCCACTTTAATACTCAGCTTCAGGTAAACAAAATAATCCTTGGCTCATGATACTCAGCATTGGTTTAAAAAGCGTGCTTTTGCTTACTGGAGTATCTTGAACCTGTTACCCCCAAAGCTGAGCTGTGACTACAACTGTCACTTAGCAGCCCTTGCTGCCTCTCATCTACATACAGTGGTTCAGCTTTGCAGCACTACACTTTGCTTTGGATAAACCGAATGACAATTTTTAAGAGCTCCATTTTCATATCCCTCTCCCCTGCAGAATATTGAACCCCAAGCCCTGAGCATGCTGGCCAAGCGCTCTCCACTGAGCTGTTCTCTACCTACTATTTTATTCTTTGAACTTTGCATCAATCTCACCCATTACTCTTTTTCAGGGAGGATTTGGGTTTTTTTTCTAAGTTTGTTACTGTTAAGTTTTTCTTGAGTATGTGGCGAAACTTCTCGAGTACAGGATGTATTAAAAGACCAACTTTAAAAGGTACCCACAATGTTTCAAGAGTCAAATCACTGCTGGCCAACAGCAACAAATACCAACATGGAAACCCTCCAACACTGCTACTGCTAGGTTTCAAATTTCTTTGGCAACTGAATGGGTATAGAGTCATTATTTCCTTCTGGTCTTGATTTGCATTGTAGTTTCTTCCACTAAGTAACCTGTCTCCCATGTTTTCATAAGGTCTACTAGATGGTGTAAGTACTCATCTTTTATTCCCTTAGAGTTTTAAAACTATTGCTTTACACTTCTTTTAATCTTTAAAAAAAAAAAAAAAAGATAACCAACTGTTCTTCCCAGCTCTATATGTCTCCTTTCCCTGAAGCAACATACTATTGTTACCTGACACCAAAGTTCACTTTTCTAGGCAATCTAGTGTATCCCATTGCAATCTCAAGGTAACTGGTATAGTTCAGACACTACTACAGGAGGATATCTTCTGGTTTCTTAGTTAATTGGTGTAAAACTGTGACAACTGGTATTATTTTGCCACCTAACTAAACCTTATTGTGTCTAGTGACTTCTTTCTGGATTTATTAAGGTTTATTTTTCAAAACAAAAACAAAACAGTTAAAAAACTGAACATTCTTCTGGCTCATGGATGTCTTGCTCCAGTGGCCAGGACATGCAATGCCACCATTCTAAATATAAGCAGTAAAAAGGGGGCAGCGTACCTGTTTCTCACTTTGAAACAGCTTCTAGTTTTTGATAGGTGCTTTTCTTTATCTGTTTTACATAGACAGTATCAGTCTAAACAAACATTTTATAATTTTGTTTGTTAGCTTTACTACTCTGTGTGTGTCTGCCCACGAATGTCAGAGAACTCTGGATTCTAAAATCAAGCTTTTGTGGGAAGCACGTTCATACACTTTGTACTTAGCTATCTCACTGGCCTCACTGACCCACATTCCGGCTAGATGTAGGTCTATAGAGTACTTGCCCAGCATGCAGTCTGGGCCTCCTCTCCTGTATTACATATACCTGCATAAATTAAGCACAGTAGCAGGTGTCCTCAAGTACATATTAAATCTAAGGCTAGATACACCAGACTCTTCAATCCCCCCCCAATCTTTCCTTGTTTGGTTTTTGATACCGAATTTCTCTATGTAGCACTAGCTGTCCTGGAATTCACTCTGTAGACCAAGCTGGTCTCAAACTCAGAGATATGCCTATCTTTGCCTCCCAAGTGTTGGGATTAAGGGTGTGTGTCACCACCTGGATAACTGATCCCTTTCTAATCCGGTTATGTTGTTAATTGTGAATGAGCTTTTTTTTTTTTTTTTCCCCTCAAGATAAATTTTCACTATATAGCTCTGGTCTGGAGCTTTATTGTATAGAGCTGATTAGCCTTGAGCATGCAGTGATCTGCCTGGTAAGTGCTGGAACTACAGGTCCACATCTCCATGGCCCTCGTTTACTGTATCTGAATATACTGAGACAGTCACAGTGGTTAATCCTCATTTAAATCCATTCATGTGATCTGCTAAATATATAACTTTGATATTAAACCATATTATATACATTAATGATTAAAATTAAGAAATTTTATATCCAAAAATTTGTAAAGTATAGCCATGGCCTGTTTTTTTATACAGGCTAACTTCCAAAAATGTCTGGAAACCAGAGGACAAATATGTCTTTGCAGGATTTTCTGAGTCTATAATTCTACTGATGCACAGTTTGAATGTCTCTAATCCTGTGGAGTAAAGAAACCCCACTAGATGTTAACTTGTGTGACAGACTGCAGGACAGTCAGATGAGGGTCAGAATGTATGACACTTCAGTAACATGGTTTTAAAAAAATGTTAGGTCTTCAACACAAAGGACTATAACTTGTCTTAACAAACTAGCCATGATTAGAGGTGAGACAAGTAACAGCGGTGCTCCTATGAAATTAGGCAAGCAAAGCCCTAAAACATCCAACAAGACAAAATTACCATAGAGAAGAAGAAAAAAGTGGCTCTTTTTTCTGGTTTTCCTCTTTATTTAATCAAAGACTGGTGGATAAACATAAATACAGCACTATGACCGGATCAATCTTCATATTGTGCACACACAGACCAATGAAAAGTAATCTGAAAGAAACTTGCAGTCAGCAGTGAAATGCACTCAGCTTTTCTTTCCCTTGCTTAAAAAAAAAAAAAGAAAAAGAAAAAAGCAACAAATTTAGAATGTCATAAGCACATATTCTCCTGTGACAATGATTCCGACATAAATAGTGGGTGCAAAGAAACTATATGCTAACATATGTATAACCTTTGTTAACGAGAAACAAAACAAACAGAAGCAGCCATAATGATTAAGATACATTCAGTTACTGGTAACTAGTTGTACCCAGAAGGGCATTATCAAAAGGGAATCGTGCTGCAGAGAAAAGCTATATATACACACACAATGAGAAATAAACTGCAAGATCAACGCATGCATGTTTAATACTGGAAAAATCACAGCCCTCCAGAATTTCTCAACATTTGTTATAAAAGCCCTCTGCACTCAACTAAAATTAAAATGATCTTAAAAGGATAATACTTCTTTTCAGCCACAGAAACTGCAATGGAAATAAATGTTCAGAGTCATTTTCAAAACAAAAACAAAAATCTATTCTTCTGATGACATGCATGATTCAAAGGTCTATGCAAGATACGGTGCTCTACATTCCCAAGGACTAGGAAAAAAAACCTCAAGTCAATTTTTAGTTTGCAGATGATCAAAGGATTTTGTATTCCAGCAGGAGTTCAAATCTTCTGGATCTTTTCACCAACAACTACTGGATTTTCTTTTCTGATTTTCTCAGCAGCATCAGCTTTGTAATTGTAAGAGCAATTGTGAACATCTGAGTAACGGTGCACACCACAGTAAACATTTCCACACCGGCATTCAAACCCTGGAAATAGATAAATATGTAGACAGTGTCAGTTAGACAGGAGGGTGAAATATCAAGTTCTTCTCAGAGTTAACGCTAAGTAATACTGTCTTTAAGTCTATGAAGAATTACTGCAAAGTTCCAAAAGCTTTATTCTTAACTCACTATTGGACAGTTTCCTTTCTTGCTCCTATGTACAAATACTTATTTTTACTAGGGCAAGCTCTGATTACTTTTCTGAGCTGGTTTCCGTACCTGGTGACATGGGTCACAATTTCTTCCTATGAAATGAGGGCTGCTAAATTGAAAATAGATCATTTTTAAACTGAAAAAGCATAATGTAAAAACAAGCCTACTGTGAGAAGGCAATTGTAACACTTAATTAAAATCAGACCAGCCAATCTGGAAGAGCTGCTGCTGAGTGGCAATGTAACACCTTTAATCCCCTCTGCTAAGCGCTCAGGAGATGAACTGCTCTGTGGGGAGAAGGTAGAAGCAGCTCCCTGTGCGACAGTCCCCCCACTATCAAAGGCAAGTCACTAGCTTCTCCAAGCCCCGTGTGCACTTTTTATGAATTCACGAAATACTCTAAGGATCAGGTGAGTGTCCAATATACAATAACTACCCAATCAAAGCTACTGAACTATAGGCATCGGCCTTGTGTGTTGAAACTCACTGAGAGCTGCAGTGAGAGTGACAGTGTTCCTCCTCCAAATCAGGCTTTTATATTATAATGGATTTGGGGAAATGGAGCTCATGAATAATCAATATTTTAATTAAGAACTGACGTTTACTTTCTTTACTGCATTTTAGCTTTAAAAACGTATTTTGAAACTTTATTTAATAGAAAACTGGAGCAAACAGTAGCCAAGTGAGATGAAAACTAAGTCCTAGCCTTGTAGTCGGGAGGCCTGAAACTTTACCCTTTTGAAGAACATGTTTGGTAGTAAACATGTGCATTTTAATATTGGAGGAATGGGGCAGTTTAGGTTATCTTTGATATCACACTGTAATCTTCCTTAGAGTCAATCCACTCTTTAGCAATAAGTCATCCCAAGGTATCATTTCATGTCTAGTTTCTGGAGACAGGATCTCATGTAGCAACTAATCCTTCTGTTTCCACCTCCCAAGTGCTGGGATTACAGGCATGTGCTCCTACCATGCCCCCTTTGAAGTGTAATTTTCACTCAGAATCTTATGATTTTTATACAAATGTTTGGCACAATGCCCAAGTAAACAAATAGCAAAACTATTTGTAGCTGCATCACTTTCCAGTAAAGCCCAATACAAGGCTTGACCTTGCCTCAGTCCACAATACCCTCAATCAAGACAGGATTACACTTTCCTTGGCAGGCCTCTTCTTACCGTGTTCACTCTGACTGCACCTAATGTACATTCTTTGCTAAATACTGTTGAGTAATTCCCCTTTAACAATTTTGACAGCTGAGTTACAGCACCAGGAATATATCAGTGATATCTCCTACACAGCATCAGGCTGCTTTGCTCAGTGACCATGTGTGGTCCATGATCAACAACATTTTACATAAAACACTTCACAGCTCAAAGTCCCCCCAAAATACCATCTCCTTGAAGGCAAGAGACTCATGTTTGCTCTTTGCCAGCACTCACTTCATTGACCTTACTTGTCAAATACTCTCAAACCCAGCGGACATGAATTTTTAAATGCTTAAAAAAAAAAAAAAGACAATCCAGAAGCTAACATGTACCCAAACACCAATGTTCACAGAGGCAGCAGCAATCTTAACTGGTCAATAACAGTGAGCTCAAGTTATTCCAAAACATGCACTCAACTTTAAACCATCCAAGGCGGCCCTTACCAGTAAGTCCCACTTTCTTTCTGCACATGAAACAGCGATTCTTTTTTTGTTTTGGTTTTTCAAGAGACTTGCTTTGCTCTTCAGATGGCTGCTGTGTTGTATCTGCTACTGAAGCTGAGAAAAACAGGAGGGTAGTAAATTTAATTATTCAGTAAGATTTAGTGTTTGGGTGGTGGCTGACACTCACCCCACAATATCCCACAGATTTAAAGTCTAGCTAAGGAATTGATTTATATCAGGAAAGATATTCATAAAATTACAATTTTATAAAACATGACCCTCTTTTCATTAAATGCACAGGTAGAAGGTAATCTATAATACACTAATTGTGTTTCTAAACAATGGTTTACAGACTTTCTTTTTTTGGTATCTGAAGTAGGGCGGGAGAGAGACAGAGACAGACACCAACCACCCAGGAAGTCTAAGGAAAGGTACAAGAAAACAGTCATATGAAAACTTAACACTGCTCACAGTCTGATGTCCATAGACTTCCCAGGAAAGAGGAATACCAATGTTCTCAATGTTTCACATAAAACCACTCAAGCCAAGTATTGTGGCACACGCCTATAACCCAGTAACCAGAGGATTGATGTTTGAACCTCATTTACAGAGTAAGTGAAAGTCCAGCCAAAGTAACAAAATAAAATTCTTGCTCAACCCTATCCCCAACTCCCAAAAGCACTAAAGATGCTAGGAAAAAAAAAAAAATCAGATATAAGGAAACCTTAAAATGATGTAATTAATATCAAAACTAACAAACAATACATTTTCATACTAAAATCAGGAGCAGATACACTGAGACTCAGGTTGAATTCACTGTGACCAAACCCTGTTAATGTGTCCTTTCCTGTTACCTGTCACTCTGGCCCTCTTGAGTGCCCTAGAGACATAGTCTGCAACCTTGCTCTGCACACACAACATTTAGGTTAGAAAGAGTAAGTGGCCTATCATGGTTCAAGTTCCAATTTGACCATTTTGTTATCATCAGAGCCTCTCCCATGAGTCACCACTCCTTCCGACTGTTCTGGGAATTTCTGGCTCAAATCTACAAGCCACCCAAAAGGCTTTCCCATTTCAACTATGTGTTTTTTAAATCAAGATCTAATGCCCTTCCCTCATCAACAGTCTCTGCAGCTTTCCACTCTATTACCCTGCTATTGGCACCATCCAATCCTTCCTCAACTCATCTGCTGTAGGTGAAAAATAAATATTTAAAAACATCCTGATGGTTCTCCTCCATTCCCCAGGGAAAGGTCCAGGGACTTTCACCATTTCTGTCACCCTCTCTCTGACCATATTACATCATTCTTTAAGCTGTCACATGGTTGAGTGATAGATACTTCAGTGCCTGACTTCCTTTGACAAACTTCTCTCTCACCTATGGGCTCTTGTGAGGTTCTTGCTGTGCTTAATCTTTAGCCACTAACTCCATTTTGTCTTTCCTGTTTACAGTGATGTAAGCCACAGTCTCGGAATAGGAAACCCTATCCTGTGCCCCTATGGTACTTTAAAAAGCTCCTATAATTGTTTATTTGATGTAACCTAGCTTAACTAAATTCTTTGAGGGCAAGAACCTGTCTCCTCACCTCTTTACCAGAGCCTATCCTGTTGCAACTGTGGATCTGTACTAAGATTTTTATCCACTAATCTGTGGAGAACACTCCCATAGCCATAGTACCGCCCCTCTTACAACCAGCTACTTATAGCAGATACTCAAATACTTTAGTGGACTATAACCTGCTTATGTTAACTCATTAATATTAAAAAGTTACACCAAACAAAACACCATGCATTATGAATTAATTAGTTAGTTAGTTAGTTAATTAATTAATTATTTAATTAATTAATTAATTAATTAATGCAAGCAACATCTCCACTACACAAGCTAAAGCCAGGCCAGATAATTTCTTACTTATGGTTTTTGAGTCAGGCTCTCATTCAGCAGCCCAGACTAGCCTCAAACTCATTGTAACCTTTCTGCCGGAACCAAGTGCTGGCATTACAGGTGTGAGCCCCTACATCTGGCTACAATGCATTTTTTAAACAAAATATGGACATAAACTTCATCTATTCTATAAAAAAAAAAAAAAAGGCACTCTTAGAATGTGAACGAACCGTGAACAAAGGGTGAATGTCTTGTTTTAGTCCCTGCCTTTAGAAATATTAGGTAAGGCTTGACACTATAAACAGAACTTGAAAACAATTTAAACTGTAATCTGAAATGAGTCTGTATATTTATTGTCTTTAAAATTTGAAAGCCACAATATCTAATGTGTTCTCTAAAACATATGGTAGTCAAACAAATGCCTAAATGTCAGTAACAGGAACACAGATTTCTAAATAAAACTGGTTTAACTACTGAGACAAATTTGAGAAATATCTGGAAATGAGTAAAAATTCATGTTCTTATTCTGAACACAAGTGGTGTCACACACCTGTGAAATTTGCTGATTAGCCCTGAAGACCTAAGACAAATCACCAGTGACAGATGCAACTTTGAAGTTAAAGACTGGCCTGTTGTCTGAAAAAACTCATAAGCCAGAGCTCACATCTGGACTGCTGAGTATCACATACAGCTCCAAAAGATGATGTGAACATTGCTCAACTCAAACATCAGCACAACCTTAATGTAAACAATGAACACCCCGAGTTTAAATACATTCAGAAGCAAGACACGAGGACTCTGTGAAGGACTGATTCCAAGAGATTACTGTTTCCTCGGCTTATTTAGGACCACAGAATGCCTTATCTACTTCTGTTTATATTACCAGAACTATTCAATCCTGAATAGAGTTATCTAGTAGCAAAGAAGCCAAAGAGACAGTCTTTCTGAATTTAAAGCCAAAGTAAAGACAGTTTCTTCAGAACTAGATAGGTTGTCATACAGGAAAATGAGAATTAGAAATACAACGCCAACTGTCAGTAATTAACAAGAAGTGACTGTCTAGTTATACCCACTGGCCATACAAGTCTGTGGGGAGGCCAATATAACAACATAAAGGCAGCAAAATCAACAGAACTGTTTTCTAGCTGAATTGCTCACTGAAATCCTGACTAGATACGGTCTAACAGACATTATTGTTAAGATACTTCAGAAAGCACTGGACAGGTAAGAGTGGTTTAACTACCCACATGGAGGATCACATTCAAGAGGAACAAGGCCCTCTGCTCTGGGTCCTGTAAACAGAAAAAGAATAGAAATGTAATAGTAAGCATACAACACAATTTAAACACTATCTCTGTTTGGGGCATAGTTATAAACACAGTGAAAAACCAAACTGAACTTGGGACAACATCGATAGGTAACCCCAAATTGTCTTAATATGTCTACTTTCTCTTGGTGGTGGATACCTCTACATAACATAGTTTTCCTCAGTCAGTCTTGGCAATTCTCAATAATTAGACAAAGCTTTTTTTGGTATGCAGCATTTTCAGAGCCCAAGCATGTAAGAGAAACACTCTACCACAGGGTTCCAACCCAGAGAAGGATCAGAATAAGGTTGTGAGGTGCTGAGATCACTCTTCTGCTCTGTACTCAGTGCTGACACAGAACAAACGCTCCTTAGACACTCATTCACTCAATGCAGAAACCGTCCACTGAGATAATTTCAATTTTTCTTTCTGGATTCCATTTTCTTGCAAGTGGGTTTAAGTAGAGCAAAATGTAAGTTCTTCCTAGTTTAAAAATTCTATGTAAAATGAGAAAAAATTTAATTTCCAAGAGAAAATCAGACTAGCACTAGTACTAGCATTCAAAACAAATAAGTCCTGTGTTTATTATTTTCTAGGAATCACATTAAGTAGAAACAGCTGGTAAGATGGCTCAGCAGGTAAGGATGTTTGCTGGTACACCTGACACCCTGAATCCAACCCCCGGAAGCCACACAGTGAAAGACAAGAACAATTCCAGAAAGCTCCAGCACCAAGTGAGGACAAGCTTTCATTCTCTTCAGAATTAAAAGAGTGAAGATGCTAGTTCACCTGACAGTCATCCTTAACTTATTGAGAAACTCTAGAATGCTTCCCAAATCATCTACACTACTCTTAATTCCCATAATGTGTAAGTGTCCCAATTTCAACACACCAAAACAACTCTTGTTATTGCTATGCTTGCAGCATTCTGCTGGGGGCCACGTGCTAAGGCATTATGGGTTTGCTTTTGCCGTTCCCTGGTGACTACTAATGCAGAGCATCCTTTCATTTGCTGGCTGTCAGTTTGCACAACTTCTCTGGAAAAATACCTATTCATACCTTTTGCCTATTTTTCTTTCCTTTAAAATATCTTATTAATTCTCTGAGAATTTCCCAAGCTGTATTTAAATTATTTATTAGATTTACACATTTAATTTTATGTGAGTTTTGTTCGTATGCATTATGTGCATCTTGTGCATGTTTGTGCCCTTGGAGTTATGGATGGTTGCCAAGCACCATGTGGATGCTAGAATTGAACCATTTTTCACTGGATGGTTATTATGCTTTCTTTATTTGTATAGCTAGCACAGATTTAAACTAACCCATGCCTGCTGCCCAACTGCCTTACCACTGAGCTCCATCCTCCAGCAGAAAATTTTATTTCTTTATTCACTCTTGTTAGACAGATGATGAAAATTCTCTGTGCTGCTTTTCTATTCTTTTCATGAAAACAAAAAGTCATCCATCCTCTCTGGGTGCTTTTGCTTTAGGTGTTTTACTTAAACTTCTAATCTAAGGGTACAAAATGTACACTAGCTTTCAGAGTTTTTACAGTCTTAGCTCTTATATTTATGTAGCTTTTAGATATGTTATAGATAAATTTTTAATCTTTTATAAATCTCATAAATAAAATAAACTCATTCTTTTGACCAGCTTTTCATTTTCTTATTAGATGACCTTAGACTTCTGTTTAATATCAAGTGCCCTTAAGCTTTTGAGTGTATTTCTGGACTATTAATACTATTCCACTGATCTGTGTGAGCACCTTCATGACAGCAGTTCAGTCTGGATTACTGTATCTTTTAATAAAGTTTGAAAATGGGAATTGTTAAGTCTTGTAACTTTTTAAAGACAGTCTTGGCTGTTTTCACCCATTCTTCAAAATCTGATGAAATCCCTGATATCTGCCCCATGTAAGCTGTCCTAAAAAAAAGTTCTAGATTAGTCAACAGTTCTACTTCCATGAACTATTGAACTAACAATTCTCCCTAAGAATCCTGGTTGCCCTGCTTTGTCCTTGACAGCCCAGACCTCCCCCCCCCCCCAACACTGATTCATTCTACATTCTAAAAGCTTTATAAGTCATCTTTTCTCTTAGGTTTCCTGTAACTCCCAAATCACTTGGGTAATATACAAAGCAAAAATATCCTTCACTGTTTGTACAGCTCACTTTGCCTCTATGATCTGAATTATTTTAAATTTAATCTGTAAGGTGAACATGATTCAAAAACAATGAAAATATAGTGTAGAAATGTTGTTAGGACATGAACTCAGTGGCTTGCTCTCTGATCACCTTTCCTTAATGGGGAAGCAGCCTTGCCAGGCCACAGAGAAAGACAATGCAGCCAGTCCTGATGAGACCTGATAGGCTAGGGTCAGAGGACCTCCCCTATCAGTGGGCTTGGGAAGAGGCAAGGGAGGAGATGAGGGAGGGCAGTGTTGGGAGGGGATGAGGTAGGGGGCTACAGCTGGGATACAAAGTGAATAAACTGTAATTAATATAAAAATAAAATTAAAAAAAATAAATGTCAGGAGAGCATGTAGATATGAAATCAGAAGTTCTACATCTAAATCCCATCTTCTTTTCAGTCTGTATCACCCAAGACTTGGAGGGCTGTGACATTAACCAAAGTATAGTACAGTATTGTAGAATTTACCAAAATGCACACGTATCTTGTCTTTAAACTGGTTTTTATGAACTGGAAATCTGACTTTGATTTTTAAAAGCTTGAGAAGCTGCTATCTTTTTTAATTAAAAAGGATAATTAGATAACAAATATATAGCTAAACTTTCATTTAAGCATGAGCCATGATACCAAATGAAAGCAGTACCACCTACCTTCTAGCATTAATTAGAAACGGAATACCTACAGAGAAAACGCTATTCTGAAAGTGCCAGTGACATTGGAATATATACCTATGGACATCAGGCAGCTTGCCTAACCAGTCAATCCTATCTACTTGAAAAACAATGAGGCTAGATATGGCAGCAAGATGCATACTGTGAATCCTAAGCCCACAAGCACCATATAGTCCAATCAAGGGAAGAAAGCCACAGTTGGTGCTGGGGTTCTAGCTCCAGCATCATGCGCGTGTGTTGCAGGGGCCTTTTGTCTTTTTTTTCATTCATTCAATAGATGAAAACATCATTTTTTTATTTGTATAGAGGAAGTGTGTGTACTTTTAAGTATCTATGTACAAAGAAGCATATTTATATTTGTGTTGACAAAAAAAAAAGAAAATATTTTAAATTTAAAAATAAGTTAACTGTTTTTTAAAGAGGCTGTTCAGGGAAGGGCACAACACTATAAAGTGTCTGCTCTACAGACATGAGGACCTGCACTTAGTCCTCCAGAACTTATATTTTAAAAACCAGCTGGGTTTAGTGCATGTGCTTGTAATCGCTCCACCCACTTTACACAACCTGGTAAATTCTGGCTAGAGACAAGACTGTCAGAAAATAAAAGAGGGGGGGTGGCAACTGAGAAAAGACACCCCATTTTCTAGCTCCCACATGCACACGAACTCACACACACTCATCAAACTCAGGTGAGAGCGAAAGTTACCTACACTTTGTTAAATATTCTGTCATGCTGAAGTTATAAATGCTAAGTCTTTAAGGAACTTAAACGTTAATACTGATCTAAATGTCCTTCAAAGCATACTTGTGAAAAGAGAATCTAAATTTTAAAACCATTTCACAGTCTTCCTAATATGACAGCACAACTTTTTCAGTTAATGTCCTCAGGATGAACTGGATTTCCATATACATCAGAATGGTGTAGAGTACCTACATTATTGCATTATTAATTCACCTACCTATAATATTTATCCTTTGTCAAACTGTTCAACTCTTACTGAACCTTTAATCTTTTTTTTTTTTTTTAATTAAGACAGGGTCTCTCTACACAGCCTTCACTGTCCTGGAATGTCTGTGGCCTTAAACACACAGAAATCTGCCTGCCTCTCCTGGGATTAAAGGCATATGCTATCACACCCAGTAGTACTTTTAATCTTTAAAAATTCTTTTCACAGACAGCAATCTAAAATATGTTCTGTTTAAGCTGAGGAGTGGTAGCTTTGTTTTCTTCCTTCTCTGCTAACCTCCCTCTCAAAACCATTTCCCTCCTTTGGTCTCATCTATGGCCTGAAACTAATCAAGATCCAGAGCCTCTGTTTTCTGTTCGTCACCTTCCTGCTTTGCTTTCAAACTCTCACTTTTAGCAGTCTATATCAGACTTTCTGAATTTCAGGTACAATCTTCATCACTTTTCTTCTGCTTACCTCTATCTTCCAAATAAACTCTCTCAAATTTTAAATCTATTACTTCTGCCTCACTCATTAACATTTTCTGTAACAGGCTAGAGAGCTGGCTCAGCATTCTAGAGCACAAACTGCTTTGCAGAGGACTCAAGTTCAATTCCAGCACCCACAATGAGTAGCTCACAACTATCTGTAACTTCAGCTCCTGGAGGATCAGATGCCTCTGGTACCCATGCTCAGATGACACGCAGATACATACATGGAAATAAAAACAAATATATAAAAAACCTTTTCTGTAACCAATACCTTTTTAGCCTCTCTATCAAAAGCAATAAAATCACCAGCACTGTGATAAAGCTAAACTTTGAGAGCACCTGTTATAGTTTTTATAATTAGTGGTAACATTTCCCCTTTTCTCCATGTAAAATAACCGACATCCCTACTTTCCTTAAACTTATCTATCTACAAAAATATTGTTCACTAATTGTACTTTATGGATTTATAGTAATTGTGGATAGATTAAAATATTTATGTTGGCCATCTAGTCACTTCCTGTAGCAAAATCTGCCCAAATAGATAAATCTGGTCAAATACTGACCTGGTAACAAAGAATAGCTATGTATACTATTTAATATAAAATTCAACAAACTTAAATTTAATATTCTAGTTCATCTGTTACCACCACGTCTAAACCAAGCATGATGCAAAAGTCAGTGTATTTTCCCCTGAAACCCTGCCATGCTGTCTCACATCCCTGAACTTATCTTTGCACAGTACACTCCTTTGGCTGCAGGATAATAAAGAGATTAAGAGCCTCTTGAATGCCTCCCCATTTAGAGGAAAATGCCTTCAGATAAGTTTCTCATAGTTCTTAGGTCACTTGAGTCCATGGCACCAGGGTGAGAGCATGGGGTGTCACACTATGAATGCAAGCAGCTGGATGTGACTACTGCACTGTAGGTCACATGGGAAGAGGAGTGCCTGGCAACCAAGAAGAAAAGCCTCTCAGATAATCAGTAAAAACCAAGTCAGCCGGATTCCTGCAACCCAGCAATCCCAGAGCTTAGAGAGGGAAGTTTTTACATTTAACTGCCCGAAAGAACAGAACATAATAGTGTAATACTTCTACTGGTCATTCAAATTACATTTTTCAAGCAGACTTGAATCTTCTCTTTATGCTGATCTAATTACTTAAGTGCAAAATGGATTCCAACATTCTAGTCAATTAAATATTTGAGAATATAAAATACTCTTCTCACAATAAACTATCCAAGCCTGTACTATACGCAGTTACTTTTCTAATAGCCAACTCTATTCTGGCACCTAGCCTATAGAAGTCAGGCATTAATAAACAACAAGCACATGCTATCATATGCAAACCTTGCAGGTCTTCTGTCTCGGATACTGCTTTGTCCACAGATGTATTGTCCACTTGGGAAGGTGCTACAGATTCTGATAAAAGTGACTGATTTGATACAGGGCTAGAAAAGCAAAAGATATTTTTTTAACATATTTTCTTTAATTAATTTTCTTCTCTGGTCATGAGACAGGGGTTTATTCTGTTGCTCAGGACAGTGTTAAACACCTGCTCAAGAGAATCTCCTGCCTCCTTCAGGTGAGTGCCACTGCACTCAATAATATTTCAGTTTGAAAAGATCATCTTCTAAATATCCATATACACTGAAGGGGCATAATAAGTACCACCTACTATAGAACAAAGAGACACTTGTAACCTAACAATCATGGGGCTTGGAAACCACATGCTTATTTGTGCCAGAAGTTGATGCTTTGAAAAACCAAAGCAACAGTACATATTTTTTTTGTTTGTTTTTGTAGATCCCATGTATTAAATGAAAACTAGCAAGATGCAGCCTTGCTTCAGAAACTCTAAAACAAAATTGTAAATGAGCATCTATAATGAAATTTTAAAAACAAATAACAGTGCAAATATTCAATAACCTGTTTTATAACAAAATAAGATGAAAATAAGTCTTTCTTTCATGCCTGGGAGGGCCTCAAATTGGCAAGTTTGAGGCAACTCCTGATCTTCTTGCTTCCATTTCTCACGTCTGAGATTACAAGCATGCACCACAACTTTCAGAGGGTAAAACATGTATTTTTGTATGCATTCCTCTATCTCTGACTTCATAGCTAAAAACAAAAATTATATTATAAAACAGAAGAATTAGTCCTATGATAAAAACAAAAAGAATCAGAGCCCAGGCTCCTCTCATTCAAGGGGCTAATATGTGTAGATCAAGGACTACAGTGTGAAGAACTAACCCAACGTCCTTTAAAGGGACTTTAGCAGCAGGTCAGGATGTGGTGTGAAGAATAAAGAAAAAGAATTCTGAAAGGGGACTGAAGATCAGTAAAAAGCATCTTGAAACTGGTGAGTAGCAAGCACTGAGATACAATTCTAGACCAGTAAATACTGCAGTGGTTTTAAAGTGTTCCTCAGTGAAGTGATTAAAAAATATCAAAAAATCAATTCTTTAGTTTTTAGTTACTTTTCAAAATGTGAGCTTACCCTGGCTGCATAGATGAAGACGTAGAATCTAGTGCTGACTGAGTGTCCGGGACACTGCCGTCTGCGCACTGTACTGGTAAGGATTCAGACAGACTGCTGACAGAAGCTGTTGCAAAACAACCACATTGTTCGTTAATATTCTAGTAGCCCAAGACCCAATCTAAAAGCAAAACAAGATCAATTTCCCACAAAACATAGTACACAGATTTCAGTTCTTTATTTTAAAACTCTGTAACAATTTGCTGACGGGGAAAAACTTTTTGGTGGTACTAGGGGTTAAACCAGGGCCCTGTGCACACAAGGATGTGCTCTACCACTAAGCAATACCTGAATCCCCTACCTGTTATTTTTTAAATTTTGCTTTAGTGATAGGAATGCAGCACTTTATATATGACAGAAAGTGAAAGTTGGTATTGCATATACCCCATGTGCTTGTCATAAACATTACGTGCTTTAACTGGATTACTTACCAGGTGGGCTTATTCTACCATTGCTACTGTTCTGTCTTTGAAGATGTTCTTTATAGCATACTGAACACATGCCATTTGTACGAGGGTTTCCATAAAATCCGCAGCCAGTGGAGCAAAGCATAGGTGCTTGGCTGTGATTAGTTTCTTGAGCCATGTTCTTCTGTTGCACACCTGTAATTTGCAAAGAATTAGTAAAGAACTCCAACACAAGACTTCAGTCTTACATTATCCAAATTTCCTTATAATAAAGGAAAACCATATATTTGCTCCTTCCCTAATGCTATGCTGTTCCTAGACAAAATGCGTAAGTAAAGAGCAAAGGACACTCTATGAACTCTTTTTTCAAGTTACTCTGTTCACTCAGAACATATAAAACTTCTCCAGAGCAAGAGACCTCTTTCTTAAGACTCTTTACTATCCAAAGGTTAACTTCAGTTTGGACTCTACCAATAATGAACAATCATTATAAGTTTTGCTGTAAGTTAAAGCACTATTTGGTTTCTAGTATTTAAAGTTTTGTTCCAAGTCCACATTAACTTGTGATTCATTCTGCTTAAAGATTACTACTGAGTATAACACTCATTCTGGTGACAAATTCTGGAAGGAAATTTGTTAGCTATTCACCTCAAGAGCCCTGTAGAAGACAAATACTGCTCTCTGAACCAGCCATAAGGGTGGTTTTCCCCCATAAGGGTCATCTGTAGAATATCTACAGTGTAATCAGAAGAACATAGAATACACAAAGATGTGCCTCACAGCATAATTACAATGTAGATAAGCTGAAAACACCAAGAACGTCCAACATTAATGACAATGATATTAATGACAAAAATCTCCAGAATCAATAACATTTTAGATGACTTTCTCGGAGAGAAAATGTTGATACTGGAAATGTACACAGTGGACATATAATATGTTGTTAACCAGTGCTAAAGAAGCCGCTATTAAATACAAAAGTGCAGTAGAAAACATATCCAAGAACAGCAATGTTAAGTTTTCTCTGGTATGTGCCTTACTTTAAACTTTTTCCTTCAAATGAAGATACTACTTGCCTAAATAGAGAAAACGTTTACTTTGCTAGCATTTATAATTTTAAAGAGTGAAATTAAAATCTAATGGGACACAGAAGACATTAGTCACAGCATGCTAGGACTCAGGAAGTGTTTGGGAACCACGTGAAGGTGATATCAATCAAGGAAGATGAAAGAACTTCACATGCTATTTTTCCCAGAAAGTAACTGGTGATTTGGCACAAACAACCCATGACAGCAAACAGTAATAGTGGGCTTATTAAAAAGAACCCCTTCTAAAAGGTTACTCCAAGGACATCCATGTGTATTACAGACCCAAATGAATAAAATACTCAAAACAAAAAATTCTGTTACTGAAATTGTCTTGACTTGGTAGACACCTATGGAATGCATTCACTGTTTTCTCTTCATCTGAATAGTTTGGAGATTGTTGAGGGTGATGATATACCAAATTTAATAACCAAGAACCATACGGCCCTTTGTCTGCACTACCAAAGGAGTCTGCGGGCTTTGTATCTACCATTAAAAGTAATGTTCCAGCTCGAAATTGTAGAGTACTCCTTTAGTCACAGCCCTCAGAGGCAGAAGCAGGTAGATCTCTGTGAGATAGAGTCCAGTCTGGTGTACATAGCAAATTCTAGGCCAGCCAGTGTTACATAGTGAGACCTTGTCTAAAACAAATGGAGGAGGAAGAGAAATAAAAAGAAAACAAGAAATGTCCTAGCTGGGTGTGGTAATGCATACCTGTTAATTACAGCACTTGGAAGGCTGATCAAGAGGATCTCTAGTCACCAATCTGAATTATATAGAGTTTCAGGCCAGCCTGGGCTACCTAGGGCAACTCTGCCTAAAAACAGAAAAATAAAAGCAAAAACCTCAAACAAGAGAAAATGTCTCTCAGACTGTTAGGGATAATATTTAGACCTTTAGCTAGGAAGGCTATCTGAGATTCTGACAAGCTTCTTTTTCACCCCATTGACAAGTTCTTTCAGAATCCCATCCTGTCAGTGTGTGTGTGTGTGTGTGTGTGTGTGTGTGTGTGTGTGTGTCATGTCTTTTATCAGTCATCTCTTGAAGTTTTTTATATGTAAAGTAAATTTGTATGTCAAAGTAAAAGACAAAGTGTAGAGAAGCTAACATAAACGTCTGATGGCTTATATTCCCAAAGCACACTAGTCTCTCGCATGCTCTTTTTGTGTGTATGTATGTGTGTGTAATAAATTAATGAATGGGAGTAGGTGCATGCTCATTTTCTGTGCACATCTGTGTTGAAGCCTCAGTCACTTTCAACCTTACACTGAACCTGGAATTCACCAACACAGCTAGACTGGCTAGCCAGTGCCAGGGAGTGTCTTGCCTCCACCTTCCCAGCAGTGGACTTCCAGATGCATGTTGCAGTGCTTTGCTTTTTATGTGGCTGAAGGGAATCTGAACTCAGATCCTTATGCTTGTGTAACAAATACTTTATCCACTGAACCATTTCCCTGGCCCTGTGCTCTTTTTTTGTGTTTGTGTAGTTTGTTATCAGTATGACTGCTCAACATGATAAAGATGATTAAGTAATGGAGCTGGGATGCATACCAAAGTCCAGGTTCAAGGCTAGTAATTTAAAAAATATGATCCATTAGCCCCTATGGAGGTCAACACCATCTTCAAAATAACATTAACAAGTTACCTGCCTTAAAACAAAAACAAAAACCATAATGTCAATGGTCTTTTTGCAGTGGTGTGTTTCAGCCAGAGCCAATAGGTAAACAATGAGGTAAACAAGCAGTGGAACAAACTGTGCCAGCAGACATTATCATGCTATACCCAGAGCAAAAAAACAATCTATTTGTTAAATCTTGCCCAAGGACACTTTTTTTGTTTGTTTGTTTGTTTGTTTGTTTTAAGAATGGATTTATGGGTCAGAGGCATGTGCCAACTACGTCTTTTTAATGCTTGTGTGATCAACTTTGGTGGGAGTTCACCTATGCAGCACTTCTACACATTGGAGAAATAAGTCTAAAGAAAAACTGGTTGTGCAATCATCTGAATTGTGAGGTGAGTGAATTAACCTTTTAATGAACACTTTTATTTGAAAGGATGACCGATAAACTGGTTATTCAGACTTGAGTATATGGTAGACATTTCTTAAAAACTGGAGAGATGGCTCAGTGGTTAAGAGCATTGTCTGCTCTTCCAAAGGTCCTGAGTTCAATTTCCAACAATCACATGGTAGTTCACAACCATCTATACTGGGATCTGATACCCTCTTCTGGCATGCAGCTATACATGCAGATGGAGTACTCATATGTAAAATAAATAAATGTTAAAAAAAAAAGTAAGTGAACCTGTCATTTCAACAGCCAACAGAAGCATGTAGACAGAAAAAAAGCTTAACAGGCCTCAAATATTTTGAGCGTTTTAGTAGGACTGGTAGTGGTGTTAACTAGATGTTAAATATAGTCAAATGTTAAATGACACTGACCCCACATTTAAAGGCCTCCTTAAGTCAGTGAATCACGTACCCCAATGTATGAAAATACAAAGACAGGCCAACAAGAAGACAAAGAGCTTATATGGTACCATAGTCTATGTAGTATCCATCTCTAAAGAAACTACCAACTGTCAAGTTTCGGCGTAATATTAAAGAACACCATCATTTATTATCTGAGAAGGTTATTAAAACATTCCTTTTTCAACTACAAAAGCCCAGGTTTTCTTTATAGCACTGTATATATTGAATCTAAGGCAACCATGACAATTCTGTCTTAGTAAGCCTCTTATCACTACAAAAGTATAGGGAGGGGCAGGGCAGGTGCAATCTTCATTAAAACGTTTTAAATGAATTAGCATTAAAATTTCGCCTCAGTTTTACTTGGCATGTGCTAAATAGCACTAAACATAATATTCATAATAAAGGCTCACCATGGTATTCATTAATTTTAGAAAACATAAGATTCTGGAGCCAACATTTAGAGAATCTACTGCTGCAAAATGTATATTTCTCAATACAGTATTTCAAGGAGGCTAACAGATTCTTTTGTGACAAAGAGGCACAAAACTGACATTCTTTATGTACAAAAACAGATACATAGCATTACCAGTGGACTTAAAATTTTACGAACATAGAACTACTTGGGGTTGGGGAAGGCACCTAACAAGATTCCTTGGGGTAGACAACAGAGAAAACACAGAAACACAGGTTCAAAGTGTTACTAGCCCATGCCACTAAGAAACAGATTAAGATATAATATTGGAGTTTTTCCTCCTGATACAGATGAGCATGTCAGTAAAACTGAAAGCCATAAAGACTCCAATAAGACAGGGATATATGAACACTCAGGTAAATAGATACAGATATAGGTAAAATATGATCATCAAACTTTTCTATGAGATTTATATCTTCAAAAGTAATATTAAAATTGAATACCATCTAACTAGTTATATCCTAAGCCAAACTGTCTTGCATAGTAGCAGACTGATGGTAATTTTTCAGAATTCAAGAGACACAAGGGATTATACAGGTAACTATAAAAAGATAATCATTCATTTTCAAATACTCAAAAAGCACCTTTTGTAAAGATTCAAAATGATTTTTAAAAAAAATCACAAAAGGTGACAATTTATATCAAGACAGTGGCACAATTAAGGGTACTGTGGAAGAAACACAGTTCCACCCCTCCTTACTGCTGTGCTTTTTTCTGGTAGGTGAACAACTTGCAAGGCATCAATCTGGCACTGATCAGGTAAAGGAAGATGAGAAGTCAGATCAGTTCTTCATGCTGCAATGTGGGACTCCACAGCTACAAATCCAAGGAAGAGGGCAGTGAAAATGCCAGGCATAAGCTTGAGCACTGACTAGCACAGTGTAGTAAAATAAAACAGCTCATGAATTGAATCGTCACAGCCAAAATCACAACCTCTCACTCCCTCTGCTCTCTAATGCTTCAGTTATTCAGAATTTTCTGTGGGACAGTTGTTTTATCCTTACACATTTATTTCTAAACTCTCCAAGATGGTGCTATGAGACCCGCAGTTTAGAAACAAGGGAAATAATACTCAAATTTAACTGTCCAAAGTCACACATCTGGTAAACGGACAAATCAGCTGTTTTATATTTAAAAATGAGAATGGTAGTCATATCTAAAACAAACC